GGCAAATTTGATCTGACAGCTGCATCAGGGTTGCCGGCGAAAAAACATTCGGCGCGAACAACCAGCGATTGAAGCAATTGGTTTCTGCGTGCTGAAGCTAACAAAGTTTGAAATCTTCCCACCTTGCAAAACTTCATCAGGTTGGGCTGCCTACCAGGGCGCAGGCAAGAAAATGTGTCACTTGGCATGACGGATTGCAAAGAACTGCTGAAAGGCAGATTCATGCCATCATTCAGGTTTCCCTTTGGTCCGAACTCTGTCACGAAGCCGAGCCTGCACAAAGCCGCCTCCAAGCCAAACATTCAGGCACAGAGTCACAAACCGCGAAAACTTTCTCATAGACATGCAGAAACAACTTATGCGCAAACAAAAAAAGTCAAAACGATGTTAACTATACCGGAAAACTTTGCAATTTCTGGAGCAACGTCCAGCAAGCAAGCCCTGCCATCATCATGAATCATAATGGTTAATGGACCAGGTGGGACTTCAGCGCGCACAAAACCACTTGAAGGCCAAAGGATTGCAGTAGGTTCTTGCTGGGGCTAATTGGTCATTGGGAGAGAGAAGAATTGGCCCGGAAGTTGCCATGAGAGGAACACGTTTGCAAAGATGTTAGTGAGGCTGGTTTCCTTTGAGGGCTTTCAGCCAAGGGCTACTCAAGATTTTGACGTCAAGAAGGCCAAAAGGGGACACATGTGTTTCGAAGGAGGCTATGTGCACCAAGAGCCCAATTAAATGTGGACTGGTGCTATGACTATGATTTTCATGATTGTCTTGATCACGGTGGCAGTTGGTTCAGTCTTATGAAGATTGACAGAGACGTGGAAGGAAAGCTTGTTTGGCTGAATGAGAGAACAAGAGAAGTTGAGAAGAGAGTGACAAAACTGGAGCACTGAGAAGACCAAAGAGAGGAGGATAAACGCAGTCTTGATCACCTTGAGAGCTACATGAGGAGGATTCGTTGTGGAAGAAGATCCCGAGGTTAGGATCCAACGACACGCCGAGATGATCAATGAGGGACTGACCGCAGAAGGATGAGAGGAAGAAGCAATCAGAGCGACCTATGAAAACATGAAGAGCGACCCTGCGGGATCCTTCAAACACATCCCTAGTGAATGAGAAGAAAATGGAAGAAAACACATACAGTTGGCTTTGAAACATGAAGCTCAACGGTATGATGAGGAGTATGACAGATTTTAATTTGCTGAGCATGTACAGGATGAGACACTCAAATGAGAAGTGTACCATTGAGCCCTTTTGTATCTCAAAAAGTTTGCAAGATACAAATTGCATCAAATTGCTACATTCAAAGGTGTGGCTGCTACAAACTCGATTTTGCTTCTCTAGGTCTGCAAGTGGGTTCCTGGGAAATCCGACGCGGTGTGAATGATATGGATTTACTCTACAACACAACAGCCATCAACAGCCCAACTTCCCTTGCGGTAAAACCTGACCTCTTCGAAACACATTGTGTTTTCCACTCTCCCGCCTCATGTTAGGTGGCTGCCTTGGCAACACTTTGATGGTGACTCATGTTGGGACAAAAGGAGGTTTCAACATGTTTCAACTTCATTCCGGTTTTAAATACAGTCAAGTTGCGCAATGAAATATACCATTGCAAGCGGAATGCCTCAGCTCTAGCCACTGTCTTAGACACTAGTAGTGTCTTTCTGTAGCCAAACTTCCAGCAGTACTCAAGGCCGGAACTAGAAAGGCAACTTTTAGCCAACTGCTTCCCACTTGGCCAAGTTGCTCTGCTGGAGCAATTGGCTGTAGGTGGTGGGTTCTCCAAACTTTTTCAATAGCACAGGAGTATCAGATTCTTCAATCGTCCCAGGGTTTCATCATGTTTCATCCATTCAAGGTTGCAGTGGTTTCAAGCTTGGTGCATTCCAGTTCTTTTCTGCAAATATCTCTCGGCCTCCACACCCGCCATCTCACCTTGTCTTGGGCCGTGCGACTCACTGATCAGTGTCGTTTTGCACGTCCCTTCACATGTCCGGCGCTTCCCTGTGGCCCCAAAGACGCTGTCGGGTTCGGAGGTTTTAACAAGAGACATCAGCATGTCTTTCCGAGGGCCTTTCTGAACAAGTGCCCTCTTGGACTCCCAAAAGTGGAATCGCAGAAAAAAGGAACTTTTGTTTGCTCTTAGGTTGGAGGCCATCGCTAGGTTGGAGGCTATTACAAATATAGGTCTTTGACTGATGTCCTCTATAGACGGTTCTTTTGTCTAAAAGATGTTTGCCATTCGTTTTGAACGCACACTTGCGCGCCCAGGCATCGAAGGCATGCGGCGCCCCACTTGCGCGTGTCGCGTGGGGCGCAAATGGGTCCGATTTCAGAACGAGCACTGCTCTGCAATTTTAGTTTTGCTTTTATGACTTTGGATTTTAGTTGTTTTTTGTTTTGATTTTTGATCCGATTTTAGTTTTGATTTTTATTACGTTGCTTTTCTTCTTTCTTTAGACCTCGACCTCCAGCTTTCTTTCTTTCTTTTGCTTTTGCTTTTTGCTTTTCTTGAAGCTGCCGCTTGAAACTATTCTGAAACTTCCAATGCCCTTCCATCACACTGCTCTTTTTCTGCTGTGGGTCTTGTCCTATTGTTTCTCTGGCAAAAGGACCCAATTTCAAGGTCGATAGAAAGGCCTTAATGCAGTCTTTCCCTTAAAGCTGACATTGGCATGGCAAGGAACAACCAAGAACGTTGGAAGTGTCCACCGTCTGAATCCAACCCGTCTCGTCTGGGGCCTCCGTGGAACCCTCGCGAGCGGCACTTTTCACCAGCGCCACTTCTTGGTCACGGTCTCATCGGGCTGCCGTAGCCAGGCACTAACTCCTGGTAGCAAGCTCCAAACCATGTGGATTCCAAGACCTCTCGGGTGCAAAATACCTGCGGGCAAAGCAGGAATTCGGATGTGTCGGATGTGTCACGGATTTCGGATGTTGAAAACCACACGGTAAAACCGAAGGAATTTCATAGAACGGCCTATATAGGTCTCAAAAGACCCAAAGGCAACACCAGCAAAACCACCGAAGGGTCCCATTGGTTCAACAGGTTGTCGCAAGCCTTCCCCAAACACTGGAACTCTGTGTGGGATTGAAGGAGAAATGCCATAATGCTTCCCAAGTTCTGGAAGGTTTCGAGTCAGGTTGTGAAGCACCTACCTACCAGCACTTGCAAGAAGGGTTGAGGTCACTCCGTGGCTTGGGAGGTTTCTCTCACATAGGCTAACTGCTGATGGCGGCTGTGTGAATTGATCTTGGCTGAAAACATGTGATCACCCCCACCAACGGGTCTACAGGCCCAAAGAACAACCAATGCCGCATGCCTCAAAGTGGGTACAGTATGTTGGTCCAAAAAACCCAGCCTTTGCGGTTTTCGGTTTGCAAACCGTCTCATTCAGATTGAGAGGTTTTGTCAGTCTGAAGACACTGACTGAAGTTGCGCTTGCACTTTGCCGCTGCAATGGAAGCGGACTGTGTCTTATGGAGCCAGGTTCCATCGATCGAACTATCGAACTGAGCAGGTGCTTCTGTCGGGGCACCAAATCACATAGTGATTTGCCAGCATCGCCAGGCCGGCGTCCACTTCCAGCACGAAGGAAATGATCTTCATGTAGGGATGCAAGTCGCCGAAGAAGTTGTAGATTTGAATCAACTCAGCTGGAAAAGCACACAGTGCGGAAGGACCTTTGAGCCCATGTTAGCTAGTTAGTGGGGGGTTTTGAGTTCACAAAAGCAAGCACGGCAAGCAGCTGTGAATAGGAAGTAGGGCCAGAATGCCAAGTGCCACGTGATGTAGCGAAGCTTGTACTCTAAAGAGCCGGGTTCAAGAGTGGTGACTGCACATCTGAAGGGCCGCAAGGATAGCGCATGAGCTTCCGAAAAGAGGAACGCCGTGAACATCAGCAAGGCAGAGACACAGTGAACCACCACGAGAACCAATTGTTCCGCGTCCCAGCTTTCTTCCTCGGCGAAGCGGAAACATCACTGGTAGCATAGGGCAAAGCTAGGGGAGAGACCTTAGTCGCTCTTTAAGGTGGAGGCCATCGCTCTGAGGTTGGAGGCCATCGCGAGGCCATGCCTATTTGGTTGGGTAAGGTTAAGGAAGTTTTCAGGACCCTCCTTGGGGAAAGACTTTAGTTGTATCCGCACACGTCACCATGTCATTTCATAGGTGCTATTCCATCCCCTTTCATTCCTCTTTTCTCTTTAGACGATTCCTTTTTCTATTTTGGTTTCTGTGGACCTTGTTTGCTTTTTTATTTGTTTAATTTCTTTCTTTCTAGATCTTCCTCTTTTCTTCTGTTGACCTTGTTCTTTTCTCATTTTTCTTTGGACATCTTCAACCATTTTTCTTTAGACCAAGTCTTTGCCATTGTTCTTTACGCCTTCTTATTATTCTGCCGTTTACTCGTAATTTATCATTAGACCTTTCCTTTCTATTCAATCCTCTAGCTAGCCTTTTTATCGTGATCAAGACCTGCTATATGCCTGCTGATGTCGAGAACGTGCGACTCCTGGTCCTGGTTCAGGTCACTAGCGTTTTGCACTTTCTCTACTGCTGTATGCTGCTGTAACTATTGTGGCGCTGGACGCCCACCAACACCACTGGCGTGAACCAAACAGGGAAAAGTAGCGATGCACTCGTTCCTAGGAGAAACAAAGAACCAGCTACACCTTGTCAATTTCCACTGACAGCTTTGATTCTCATTGCATTTTGACAGTGGCTGTATCATGTGACAGCTTTTGGTTCAAGGAGGCGTGATGTTACATCAACGGTGCATCTTAAATTGTGGATGAGGGACCAGAAAGGAGTTACTTTCTTTCTATGCCAACGCGAAATGCTGGTGACCTGGTGTCCATCACAAAAAATAGTTGACAGTGTTGTCAGCCAACGCTTGGCCATTGTCTTTTGGACCACTTTGAGCCATGGTCTTCTCAGAATTGCCTGTGTTCCTATGCATTCAAGCAGAACTAAAGAGCTGTCCGAAAACTGCTGTCATGGTGCTTTGACGGAAGGAACGCAGGCCACCAAGACCAAGCCGACCGGTGGAAAGAACTGCCGAGCGATGGCCCAGGACATTGAGGCGAATGGCATGTAGGGGACGCGAATGTAGCAACCTCCTTCTGCTGGGATACAACCCGCATTGCGCAGCTTGAAGGGATACCAGGACAGAAGGATACAGAAGGCCTGGCACATGGAGCACAGGCCATCACACCGGATTATCTCAAAGAGTATGTACCCCAAGTATACAAAGAAGATCTGCGGACAATTGCATAAGAACATCTGACTTATCACGTGGCTGGAACTTCTTGGATCTTCGAGGATCTTTCAGTTGCTCTCTGGCGAAAACATGTGCCCGTTGTTTTGGGACATCCTACCAGATCCTTCCATATCCAAAAGCCAAGCCCGTTTGTTTCGCACCGTCTTCGACCCGTCTTCGGTCCCACGTCCCACTGCCAGGAGCTCGAAGCCGAAGAAGATCCGCGCTTCCACGCTTTGCCACTCGGAGACCAATTCCGACACTGTCGAGGGCAGAAAGGATTGGTGCAAATTCCGATTGCCCAGAGTTCCGCTCAAAGCCCTGAGCATCAAGGGAATGACCGCCTCGGCATGATGGAAGAATGGTGGATGGACTATGAGGTGGTGGGTTCTCAGGTGTGAAGCAGCAGTGGGACAAACAATTCAAAGGCTGTCAAACTTCAGTGGGACAGCAATTCAACCAATTGATTCCGCGAAGCTTTCAACATTTAATATGCGAAGCTCAGTGGTTCAAACCGGGAGAAGGCACCACTGGTGGCCCCGTCAGAACTCTTGGCTCAAAGAAGTGATGGACTACGTGGACGTTGCTTTTCTGTTGAAAAGGATCGTTGTTGAGCCCAGTGTGTTGAGTGAACCCGGTGTTGTGAACTCTGAGTGAATTCCAAGCGACGATGATGAAGCCCAAAGCCCCAAGGATCACCCCAAGCAGCAAGTACGACAAGCTTTGTTCCTCGGTGCGGTGAGTAAGTACCATCACACCGACCATCGGACCGAGACTGGGCTCGGAGGAAACACCCACACATCGGCCAACTTGGAGTAACTGGGCCCCCGGACACTTCAAGCGACAACATGTCAAACAGAACAGATAAAGAAGAAATGAACAAAACATAACAAAACACATACAGTAGGCGGCAAAATGAAGGGACACAAATAGACAAAACACATGTAAAGGAAAAAACAATTACATAAAGTAATTGCCTGGAAGCGATGTAGTGCCTGGAAGCATGCTGGAGCTGAAATGCGGTGTCTCGATGGTTTGCTCGGTTGGTTGGAGTGCCCTCCATCAGCAAGTGGACAGTGTCTGTGCAGAAAGAGGTCGTTCTTCAGAGAAAGAAAGAATGAAAGAAGGAAAGGAAACAGTGTCTGTCTATATAGACTCTAAAGTCTAAATAAGGAAAACACGTACATAACATGGAAATCAAAACAGCTCTGAAGAGAAAGCGTTCTTTCTTGTTCGTGTTTTTCTTGTTCGGCATATTGGATAAGACTTCTGTCAAACTTGGTGCCTGTCTTTCATGTTTTCAGATCTTGTTCCTTCTGCATAACACTTATCCTTTTCTCTTTTCAAACTTTGCTCATTGTTCTGAACAAACGCATCTCACTGACCACTTTGGGTCAGATTTGCCCGACTTGCCGTAGAAGCTCTGAAGCCCAACGCGACAAGCTGGTGGCCCGTTTGGTGTGAAGATGAACGGAAAAACAGTCGAAGGAAAAGAGCGTCTCTGCTTCCAAAACAAAGATGGACCTTAAAAAGAAACACCTCATTACTACTAGTAACTCTTCAGAAGCTACTAGGTGGAGGCCTTCGCTATTAGGTTGGAGGCCAGTACTACTAGCAACAAAAAGCTACTAGTAACAAAAACGGGGCTTAAAAAGGGACACCTTCTATTTGGCTGTTTTCTCCGAAGTGTCTGAACTCTGCAGCTCAGGATGGGCTTAGGCACCAAAGAACCAAACAATAGTAGCGACAACAAACATTTGCCTGATCTTCACCCGGAATCACTAGCTATGCCCCGACCATGCTGCTCAACAGCCTTGCTCGGGTACTGGGTGTCGGCATCATATTTTCCCAAGCTCGAACCGTTGAACCTGCCAATTGCTCGGAAGGCAGCCGAACACTGAAACAAAGGTGTTAAGCCATCTCAGTGCGGGGTCAGTAGAGCAATTCTCGGATCATACCAACTTCGGTCTCAAGCCCGGACCTTTCAGTTGGATAGATCCGGTGGTGCCCCACCATCGGATCCGATTGGACCCAAATGGACCCGGCCAGGGAACATCTCCGTCCGATCTACAGCGGTTGGCTCGCTTTTCTCCGTCCGAGCTCACAGAGCGATGAGCTTGACTTTCACCGCAAGCCGGGACCTCGGCGTGGATGGGAAGAAGAGAAAGACGGGATGAGAAAGGTCTAAAAAGGTACATTTTTCCGAAACACGAGAAACACGACAGACGAGAACATGTAATTTTTCCTAAAAATAGGTTGAGTTAGATTCTATTTCTCCTGAGATCGCCCTGCAAGCGGAAAGAGAAGTCTTCTCGATATCCAGCTGTGAGACTACTTCCGATCGGATCAGAAAGCCCTGTCCTTCTCTTTTCAACAGACCTTATATTCCATTTTCTCTTTGCCTTGTTTCTAAAAGAGCAATGACCTACAACCTAAGAGCCATAGCCTCCAACCTAGCAAACTATATTAGACCGATCTTGCTTTTTATGATTCGACCTTTTTTGTCCTCGGCTTCGCTCTGGGCGAAGCAACGAGACCGCTCCCAGGGCTCCGGGCTCAGGGCGGAGGCTGCTGCCTGGCCGTTGGTGGGAGGAAAGGAAGGCGACTGGATGGCGGTACGTACGTCACATACAAAATGAAGACTGCATTGCGGCAAACAGTGCTGGTCCCAGCTGCTTCCGTTCGGGCTCACCTGGCTGGACATCTCCACACTACTTACGGGTTTTTATTGGGCACCCCGACAGGAAGCGCTAGGAAGGAATCAGGTGCATCTCATCTCAGGTGCATCTCATCAGGAATCCCTGTGAGGGATCTTAAGTGTCACAGGTCGTGAGCGGGCGTTGATCATGGACATCCAGGAATTGACACCAAGGAAGGTTGAATGACAAAGGGCTTTTTCCCAAGTCTAGAGCCCCTAGTAGCGAACATTGCTCCTAGTAGCGGTGCCCTTTGCTTCTAGTAGCGTCTTTGATCTTATCAATGTTTACCTATCCAAATGCCAACCACCTCCATCAACAACCACGTCATGTGAGGAGCAAAACAATTCCACCACAGCGCCGCCGGTTTCCTTCTTTCTACCCGCACTACCCGCGCTACCCGCTTTCATTGTCCAATGACTACTTCACCCTGTGACTCGTCTGGTGGAAGACTTGTCGATCGGATCGGCACCTCGTCCAAAAGCCAAAAGGCCGTGCCGCGCAAGACCTGTTGATGGACGAGTTTACTTCGTCATCCCAAGCTTGGCACCAATCGCCCCAAGCGAAAGAGAAGACCCATACCGCCGCACCTTCTTTATATTTTACATTTAGCTGTTTCGAGTTTAGGCCTGTCTAGTCTAAAATCTGACTTGGCCAATGGCTTCTTTCGGCTCATTGAACTGAACCTGGAAAAAAGGTCCAAGATTTCCTTGAAACTATGCTGGAAAAGGACAAGAAAAGGTCTAAAGAACTAAAGGCTCCAAAGAAAAGACAAAGGTCAGTGCAATTCAGGGCCGACCAGGGCCATCGGTTTCGGGGTGACCAATTATATAGCTCCTTAGAGGTTAAGGGATGTCCATTAACCACACCAAACAGGAGGCCCTGCCGCCACACCCGTCGCTGTCACCGCATCTCAGCCGGTCCTGAGCAGGAAAGGCGCGTGGTCCCTCCATGCCTTCAATCGCTGTCTTCATGGCCTCACACGGGCAGCGCGCTGAAACCCGGCAAACCTGGACACAAAGAAACCTATTTTCCTCCCTTTGTGTCACAGGGGAAGAACGATGTCTATAAAGGTCTGAGAACACAAAAGGGGACCATGCGATTTGCCACTCCTGGACGAAACGCGAAGCAACAACCGAAACAAAGAACAAAACATTACCGTTTTCCTCCTTTCCTCTTTTTTTCTCATTAATAGACCATTTCTATTAGACCTTGAAAAACCTTACTAATCCTTACTAGTTTGGTCTGCGCTGCATTACGTTCTTGCTGACACACGGAGCGCGCCGTGCTCAAAGAAGGGGCTCTGCGTGCCTCGGACTTCCCGAGCGGGTACTTCTCAGAGACTCCCGCAGAGGCCACCAAGACCTGGGAAGACCGTCTTTTCGACAAAACATGGAGATGCCATGAGACGCCGTAAATCATGCCATGTCCAATGTAACTCCGAACCCACATCGGACCCTTGGAAAGGTGTGAGCTAGGGGGGTCATCAGAAAACGTGAACAAAGCTACGAACGGGGCTCCTGGAAGCGCTACGAACGGAGCGATCGGACGCTACGAATGGGGCTCCTGGCCGTACTACTGACTAGTAACAAGAAGCTACTAGTAACTGGAATTGGGGAGAAGCTCCAACGCACCACGTCTGACGGCCCCCGCCTTCTTGGATGCCATCATCGCGGCGGGTGACAGGGTGATACTCGGTGGAGATTTCAGATCCACCTCACCGGAGGCGAAGGAATCAGGCGCTCGGATCCGAATCAAGTTGCACCAATCAGAAGAGGAAGCAACTGAATTGAATAGATCAGGAAATAGATTCATGAATGTGTTCACTGACTTCGATATACTTCGATATAATGTTATTCACTTCAAACATTTGTACAATCTTGTTTTAATGTCATTCACTTCAAACGCATCGTGGAACGTGAGAACGTGGCCCGCCACGGACCACCGAGACGTTCGCTGTCCCTCCGGGCGCTCCCGACGGGTAGCACCCAGCGTCCGGACTCATCGGCAATCTCCTCCGCTCCCAGCGGCTCCAGTCTCTCGAAACAACAGGGTGGATGGATGGAGGGTATATGGATATGGATGGTATATGGATGGATGGTAAATATGGAGCTAGTAATTTATGAGAAAGACCTTATTCTGAAAAGGGGGAAGGCTACACTTGGCCTACTGGTCTACTAGTAAGTAGGCCTCGTGAAAGATACAGGTCTGTGGAGACAAGATTCAGAGAAACCCCTGGAAAGACATGTCATCCAAATCTGTGACATGAAACCAACAGCTCGGCCACTGAGACATCCTGAGACAACATGTACAAAACGATTGACAAGGTATTGTTTGAAAGAACCTAGTCATGGTACCGCATGAGATTTTGTCAAAGTGGTTGGCTTTTTTTTAATCTCCGTCCTCTCGGTTGGGGTACAAAGATCCGAAGTGGCCGTCATCCCCAACGCCAATCAGGCAAATGTCCTGGGCACCGAAGGCAGCGGCGATCGCGCAGTCCCACAGCAATAGCGACCCCAATAAGGAGATTGATGCATCCATGCAGAACTTCAAAGACTTCACCATTTAAGACTGTCCGGAGCCTAAGGTCTTCCCTCCCTCTACCCTTCTTCTGCTGCAGAATCATTCAGCTTTGAAACTTGACATGTGATGAACGTATGAAACAGCTCTTGCACGTGGGAGTGCAATCTCAACAATCCCATTACTGCAAGCTGGAGTGTCGCCCCTTCTTCCTTTAAATTTTTGTCTTTTTTATCTCTAGGACAGCTCTGTGGTTCAGCGCGATCTACTTTTGATTGACCGCTCGCCATTCATCTTGTCTAGGCTCATCCGTCGAAAGTCATTAAGACTCTGTAGTCTTGTGAGGCTTTGTGTTTGGGTGTTGCAGCAAGCGGCCTCGAATTTCCATCTAAGACCCCTCAAAGAACTTCCTGTACATAAAGCCACATCCTGTGTCTATGAAGCTGTTTAGGTTCAAGGTCAGCAAACATAAATTCTTGACCTGCAAATAAAACACACATTCTCATTCTTGAGGGTGTACAACTGGCAAAGGCAACTGGCAAAGGCACTACTGCACATCACCCTCACGTCAAGGTGTGAGTCAACACACGATCCCCTCTTGGCCATATCAACATCTGAAACAGGGCTAGCCAAACACTAGCTGCCATATGCTGCCATCAAAGCATCGTGATTTTAGGTTTCCGCGCTGCATTTTGGACTCTTTTAGGTCTTTGGAGGCTCCTTCCCCAGTGACACCGAACCTTCCCTGGTGGAAAACCCCCCAAACCCGAAACGAACCCCGACTGCTCGAGTCGCCCCACGAAGACGGGCATGTCACCGGCCGTGCGGGGCAGCAAGGCTTCCGGCACCGCGCGGAGCTCCGCCTCCGACCGACGGGGGGGGGGGACGTGGAGGGTCTCCAAGCGACTGAGTGATGGCCTCCAACTGAATAGTGAGGGCCTGACCCGCCAACTGAGCGATGCCTTCATCTTAGACCCAGGGAGCAACACCCAAAAAGCAACAAAACTCCACGTATATAGGTTGACAGCGATTTAGTTGTAGTTACTGCAAAAGGAGCGATGGGTTGTGAAGTTTAGGGCGTGTAGCTTTGGGCGGCCATAAAAGTTGCAGTGCTACATACTTTGCCTCCTTCTGCGCATCATTTTGTCTGCCCTTCGGCCAGCTGTACTGAGCAAATTGTGCTTTTGGTCGATTGGGCGAAAGGTCGTGTCGACTTGGTTTGATGCTCCAGGCCACGCCTACACGTCAAGCGGTTTGGGTGCACGAATCCTGTACACGCTACAGGATAAACTAAGCCTACTGGGTCCCAACAAATACCTCGAGCGTGGAAACACATCGAGCGCATTACACCATCGAAAGTTGAGGCACAGGTTGACATCACGAGGGTGTCTTCTGGAAAAGGAACGCTGCACATGTGTTGAAAGCGCAGGGATGCCGTGAATGCTGTAAAGACAAATGACAGATGTAGCTGCACTCGTCGCTCTTGCAAGGGTGGAGACAAAGAACCCTCAAAATGGTGGAACACGTCATCGGAGGAAACGACGTGGCGAAGAAGAACGACTTGCCGTGAAGCCACGTGCGTCCGGCCATGGAGCGACCTTATCATCGCCGTCCGGTCCGGCACCTCGTAGCGCTGGGCTTCGGCCTCCCCGTCAGCGGAGCCACCCATGGTGATGACCTTTAAGCCCTTCCAGCCTGGACGGTGTCACCGCGACTGCGTGGAAGCGTCGAGACGCAGTTGGGAGGTTCTTTTGGCAAAGATCTCTTCACTGGCTTGTTGAACAATCCGACAAGAAGCAACCTTGCAATCAGCACTGGTTTAATGATAGGTCCCTCTTTTAGTAGGTTGGAGGCCATTGCTATTAAGTTGGAAGCTTTTAGGTTGCATTCCCAGGTGAATGCAGCAAGCTTCACACATCTTCACACCCAGCGATCTGAGCACAGCACCTGACAGGAATAAATCTGCGGCCTAGGCTGAAAGCTCGCCAGCACATGTGGATCCACAGGTTCTGAACTTTTCTTCGTTCGGCTGGCGAAGTCCTACGAAACAACCCTCCAACCTAGAAGCAAACTATATTAGACCTTTCCTTGTTTCTAATAGCAATGGCGTCTAAGCTAATAGCGATGGCCTCTAGCCTAGAAGCGATGGCCTCCACCCTAATGGCATCAGAGACATGCCAAAGAACAAATAAACATCTGTCGGAGTGTTTATTCTTTGTAGATTTGTTCAGCCTTTGGCGGGCAGCTCTTGTGGCAACTGGAGCTAAAGGAGGCTTGGACCGCCTGGTGTGGCTGACCAGCCGTCGCTTTGCTCTTTGTCTTGTCACCTTCTCTTTCATCTACGCGCTGTGAAGTGGCGGCAATTGATGTGGAGGTTAGCCTCGTAAAAATAACGAAGAACAACCACGATATGGATGGACCGAATTATGTGCGCAAACTCGGTAACTGGACTATTTGGATGATGTGAGGCGCCAGTCTAACATAAAAATGAGAAGCGGACTGCGGCCCTAAATCCTGATTCCTCGAAGATCGACATGAACGTCACCGAATCCTTATTCTTCTGCCTGTCTACGCTGTTTGCCGTCTAAATAGCCGTACTCAGCATAGCTTCTGCTGAAAGGTACCGTCCGCGCAGTTTTTTAATCGTCGAAATACTACGAGGTCTGTTGCTTGTGACCAGGGAGAACGCGCCTTCTGGCCACATGTTACACCTCATCAACTCAAAAATATCCTGACATATCCTGACCATGATATGCACATGTTACATGTGTATAAACCTGTTCGCCTCTTTTGGTCCCGCCAAATCACGGCCCGGATTGGTGCCCAAAGGTCTGTCGAACGGCGAACGGCGAACGGGTGCCTTCTTGTGTGTCGCCGCAGCATCGTCGTTGGCGACGCACTTGTGGTTGACATAGGCCATCACCTCGAGCAGGGAAAAGGCACTCCATGTCATGGCGGAGCCGTCACGCAAAGGGACAGTCTGCAATTTCTGAGTCGGCGGCACCTTTGTCCCATTCCACACCTCATGCACAAGCATATGCATGCGACCTTCCGAATGTCCCACACCAAATGAAATGAGCGACCCCCCTTCCAAAAATTAATGTTCAAAAGTTGGATTGTTCACCAGGTGAGTTGTGAATTAGATTTCCACTAGACCATTTCATGGTTTTCCGGCTAGCTCAGGCTGTGCCTTCCAGCTCCGCAGCACCAGCCACAAGCATCTGGCCAGTGCGAAACGTGTCACGGTGGCGCCACCGTGCTGATCGGCGACGTCAACTTGCTGACAGATTAGGGACACGTGGGTAGCAAAGTTAAGAGAGATGGATGCCTAAAACATCCGGTGGCGCTCCAAAACCCCAAAAGCGGGTGCCAAACAGAATTGCGCAGAACGAACACAACACACACACAACACAAGGTGCTTAACCACGACCCTGCAGTGAGTTCGTGCTGATCGGGCGATCTGTGGCGCCTTCAAGATGGAGCCGCCTGGAATAGCCAAGGAGAAGCCACCGCGCTTGGCCACTGCCTCTTTGGCCGCCGCCGCCACCTGACGCGAAGCAGGCGGCATGGCAGCCAAACGCATTGGAGTTTCGGCCATTTCTTTGGCTTGGCTAGATTATCTAACTGTCAGCCTGACCAACATGAAATCACCTCTCTCTCACAAAGACTTGCAAGGCATAGGGCACAAAGTCACAAAAGATGCACATGCTCAAGTAGCGGCCAAAGCAACACGACCGAATGCCTCAGATCTCACTTTTCTGTCCTCAACCGTCCAACACGGCCTCGGAGCACAGCTGTGTGGCCACGGCGTCAGCATCGGACTTGATCAGAATGCGACCTTGCTGCGATTCCGCTTCTCGATTGGTGGGCCTCTCACCTTCGACGTTCCGGTCAATTGATTGAGGCCGACGTTCGAACCCTGAGCGAACTCAATCCAAATTGCAACCAAAAACCTGGTGGCCAACCCCTGCGGAAGCTTGCTGCCCCCACTGGCGGCGGCTGGTGGCACCGTCTCCGGCAAAGCAGACCGCCGTCCACGTCGTGCACGCTCTGCCTGGAACGGGCTGTGGCGATAGCACAGCCTACAATGCTACAACCTAATACCAATGAATAGCAATGGCCTCCACCGGAGCGATGGGTACGATAGCAGCCTCTAATGGCAATGCAGTGAGTTGGCAATCGCGGGTGACTTTCCTCTGAAGACATGAAGCCTTGAAACCCTGCTGACGACCTGAAGCCTAGTGACGACCTGAAGCCTTGAAGACCTGAAGCCTCTTCGTGTCTTCGCGTGTCTTCGTGTCTTCGCGCAAAAGTCACAACCCGCTTCTGCCAACGCAATGTAGCCATGGCCTCCAACCTACTAGCGATGCAACTGTTTCTTCTTCTTCTTTGGGCCCCATCTGCACCTGGACAAAGACAGCCAGCGAAACCAGGCTCGGCCAAGTGCGCCCGGGCGGCCCTGGTTTCACAGCCTCCCCAGGGGCAGTGCGGCAGGACAGTCAGATGAATAGCCTTACAACATCCGGTCCTGGAATCTAGGCAAATCGATGGTTGTTGGGGACATGCGCCGGATTGGCTGTGTAACGGTGACGGTGACCTCACTGAACCATGTTCACTTAACTTCTCTTTTTGGTGAAGATGAGAATCCAAAACTGCATCTGGACATCTAAGGAGCGGCATGCCTCTCAACAGGAGGAATGAACCAAGAAACAGCACATTCAACAAGTGGTCTGGGGTGCAGCTACCCAGATTCAAACGCGCAACCCGCACACGAAAGGTCTGTATCCCCGTCTCGCCCGGGGCTTGCCAGCCAGTTGGAGGGGCAAGCGTTAGACAAAAGATCGAAGGCAAGAAGCCCAAAGCTCGTAGCAAGAATGTCCACCCATAAACCGAACCCCTTTTCCATCAATCCTCATTGCGATGGCCCATCAAACCTTAATCAACTATAAATACCCATTTCATCCCATTTCGCCCAAAGTCACATCCCCCTTTCCGCAGCAATGGCATAAAGTTTTCATTGATGGACTCCCTAAGTAGATTTCTTGGTGTGTCAAACTTGGTAGGGGTCACAAAAGACTTTGGCCTTTGCTCCCAGTGCAAACAATCTTTCACCACTTCCGCCAACAACATTGGTAGATTTGAGACATCCTGGCCCGACCACTCCCTGTAGCCTTAGACCCTTGGTTCGCGTTTGTAGATGTGCATATGGCATATGCATGTAGACGTCACATATATCTGAAAGATACCTATTGCCCCCAGTGCCTCTGGATGACCTTAAGGAAAACGAGGGCACTCTAACCCTGTGAGGATTCCAACAGTTTACTACTTAGAAACAAGAAACTACTAGTTTTCCAGGGCATCGCTACGAACGTAGCAAGAAGCTACTAGGTGGAGGCCCTCGCTTTCAGCTTTCGCCTTCGAGCTAGCTGGCCGTGCTGCAGGCGCCCAGCGATTGGTCTGAAGCCGTGGAAGGCCTCCGGACACGAAGCCGTAAACGGCAAAGCGTGCCAAGCGCAGTTTGACATCTGATGTTCTTTTGAGGTGTTTGTGTCATATATTCTTGCAACTTTGAGGTCCCAGGTTTGATTTCAGCGTAGAGATGTTGCAGCCGATCGTCAAGTCAAAAGACTTGACATGTAAAAATACGTTAAGGAATAGCTGCAACTAGCAGGGTTACGTAGCCCGTGATGGCTAATCAGTTGCCACGAAACTTGTGGGTTCTCCCCTCCTTGCGAAACAAAAACCGATCTTCAATCAACTCCGCCCATCCCTCTCAGGGAGCATGGGCAGGACTGGGGATCTTCCAGGGCAGGCCAGGACTGCAGCTGCAACCTATGAGGCGTATACAGTTGACTGTATAGTCTGTCTGTATCTGGCATTTGCACTTCCCACAGGTTGCAAGAACTACTTTGCTCCTACTCTTGATGGAAGATGGCATCCGGCGCCAACACCACACGTTGCCCCGACACGTCGCACTGGATCAATAAAGCGTTTTCTCTTGGCCCATGGGTTTAGCTACTAGTAGTAATGCCCTTGTTACTAGTAACTTCTTCCTACTAGTTGACAACAACTGTTCTAAAGATCTTGTTCTCATGTTTTCTTCATCTCAGCTGCCGCTCTCTACCGGCCTAAAACTGCCTGCATGATGCACCCGTGAGGCGGCGACCAATGAGAAAAAACAACGTGAGACAGTGGATTTTTCCTTGAAACTTTTAGACATTCTATGACATTCTTGTTTTCTGTATCTGTTTGGTGAAAAGAACATCGGTAGTAACGTTGAAAGACCTTTGAATTGGGTTAATCTGAAGACGTCTTCTTCTGCTGCTGAAGCTGTGAGAGATCTCTGCCGGACCAGGTCGCTTTCGTCGTCAAGCTTTGAAGCCAAATAGCCGGGTCCAACGGTCCGTCCAACGAGTTTTCAAGGAACACAGAAGGATTCACTATTGTGGTCCTTGATGGTCGTTGTATATAAGAACAAACGGATATAACGGTAAAAGCTGGTCTCAGGCAAGTGTTAAAAAAGGTTTCAACAGGAAAAGGGCAATAAAAACACTGAACAAAGAACTCATCACAGGTAACTCACCACTACCATGGCCACTGCATGGTGCTGACGAGTCTTCTTTTTCCGGTCGGACCGGAGTCTTCAAGCAGTTTCTGGGCACTTTCGGCCTCACGTCTCAGCGAAGTGCCTCAGGAACTCGTCCGGACATCGCTTCAGGGAGCGAACCGCCGGAGGAACGCAACCGTTTCGTTTTAACAAAAAAACGCAGAACACATGGAACACGCTCTGAGAAAGGCATGGCACGTTCAATTCTGAAAGAGCTGAAAGAGCGTTCTCTCCACCACTTGCGTGGAGGCTCCGTAAGTGAGTTGGTCCGTTTCTCGGGACGCGACCGTTTTGTCCAACCAGGCAGCGCGACAACAAAAGGCCAACAGGAGGAGGAAGATCACCACGATGGCGTAGAGAGGCCTTGAACCGAACGACTCCGAACGACTGCAAGATTCAACTGCATTGTGCTTTCAACTGTTTGGAGGAAAGCACGTTCCCAAAACTGCACCAAGGCAGCATGTTCGAAGCCAAAACCCATGATCTTCGACCAGGATGTGGAACCGTTGTTCCAACGAGACGTTGGCGTATGTCCAAACACGGGTCGCTCAGCCAGAGTGGGCCAGGGGGGTCGTGGCGCAATCACCGGACCGCTCACAGTCCCAACGGCAAGGTCAACGCTTCGAACGATGAACGATGGCCTTCCAACCTGGCATAGGGATGCATAGGGGAACCTATAGTAGCGAAGCGATGGCCTCCAAGCTACTAGCAAGGGCCTCCAACCTAATAGCACTGACCTCCACCATAATAGCGACGGCCCTCCAACATAGAATCAAGAGAAACATCACGGGTGCTTTGGTCATTCTCAGGGCCACTGCCACTGCCTTTCCCCATAGCCTTGACCAGAGTTCTCTTCGCAACTGACAGCGTTATGTGCGCACGATGTCTACCCTTCCGAGAGATCTCTTCCAAGAATCTCTCGAACAATTTGAGTTCGTGACATCTGTCTGTCAAAAACCCGCTTGGGAAATTGAATCCCAGTATCGAGACGTGCCGCACCGTCCCTGGAGAATTCTTGCTTCAGCTTCTAGAACATCTCCCACAAGGACCTCTACAAGGCCTCTGAATCTCTTGAAGACTTGGCGATCTCTGCACAACATTTGCCCAACCATGTCCCTGCAAGATTGCAAGAGAGGAAGCCGCGACAAGAAACAACTCCTTGACGCTTCGGATCTCAAAGCTTCGGATCTCTTGACGGCAAGATCTGACCTTCCTTGATTTGCGTTATGCATGGTTAGCACGCATAATCTGGATTTCAGTCGGTCACAGCACCCGAATCGTATCATTGTCGGGCAACTCCTCAAAAAGAGATGTGCGTGTTCGAAAGAATCTACTAGAACATGTGCCCCGAGCCCACCAAATCACGGGAGGAACCCTGGATCTAGAATCCAGATCTCTTCAACCAAAGTAAGAACCCGCAAGTATTTGGGGAATGAAGAGGGGTTTCACCTTGGCATCTAAACAAGTATCTTGGCATCATGTCTTGGGCCACCGGCCATATTGGCTCCTCGTCTTCCTTCTCGACTTGTGGTGAAGCGGGCCTTTTGAGGACACATGGACCAAACAGTTCCCAACACAAATAGCTTGGAACGGAGATCTCTTTTGGCGAACACAAGTCCTACAAGACATTTGCTTTCCTCGGATTTGTCGATTGCGCTCTTTCCCGGCACATTCCTCTTGCTTTCCAAGTGCTTTGGCAAGTGCTCTTCTTGTGACACTTGCATCCGAGAGCGCTGCACGGACTTGGGGCTAAGCAAACGATGCATATGTATCGACCGTACTTAGGTAGGGTGAGGGGGGGTCAGGTCTACAGGTCAGAAACAAGAACATCATAACATCTTAAAGACGTTAGGAGAATCAAAACCAAAGTTCCAAGCCCTAACAATTCTTGGGTTCTCCAGGGGTCCGGGCCATAAAGAACCCTAGGTGTTTGAGGGCCCGGATTCTTAGGGAGGATCATTTGGAACATGTTGGACTGATCTTCGGCATGATTCCTTTCCCTGTCTCTGGGTCCCCAGCTTCGGAAGATCTTTGGCCTCCGAGCCTCAGGGTGGCCATCTTCGCGGGTGTTCATCCAAAAGAACGAACGATGTCCGCCGCGATGGAACCGTCCGGGTGGTCCACTGCGTCCACGTGCCACTGTCCGGTTCCTCAACGTGCCCCGTTGTTTCGTTGCGCAGTGCCGGCCAAGCCCGAACGACTGGCGACGAGTTCTGAACGGGCTTTGTTTCGGAGCCGACGGCATGCCATGTCAAGAGGCCCCCGGCCTCCGGTTCGGTTCCCCCGTTTACGAAAAGGGTCCTGCCCTGCGTGACCATATTGCAGGACCAAATGACGAAATAATTACGAGCGTCAAATATCGACATTTTCTCAAATTGATTCATGATTCACAAGTCATCACACATAGTCACTTTATAGGAACAAAGGGCATCGCTACGAACGGAGCAAGGACGCTACGCACGTAGCTCCTGGCCTTACTAAGTAACCAGAAGCTAAGAACGGAACAAAGAGCATTGATATCCGTAACAAGAAGCATCACACATAGTCACTTAATCCATATAATACTTGTATGTCCACCGAAGGTTGCCCTTCTTCGCACTGTTGCGTCGCTTTCTTTCTTCTCCACCCTTCAAGGCCCTCGCGGTCGACCCGCCGCCGCGTCGTCGCCTCGGGCTGTGGGGCTCGTTCAGGTCGTGTGCTCGGCACTGTTGCTGGGAGCTTCTTGTTCCTAGTAGCTTCTTGTTTCTACTTAGTAAGGCCAGAAGCTACGTTCGTAGCGTCCTTGCTCCGTTCGTAGGGATGCCCTTTGTTCCGGTCCTAGCAGCTTCTTGCTACTAATAGCAATGCCACTAGTAGCTTCTTGTCACTAAGTAGAAATGCCCTTAGCTACTAGTGGCAATGGTACTTGTTAGCAACGTAACTCAATGCATATCATGCGAAGTCTGAAGGAATCGACGAAGGATCTCGGCTTCCTGCTGTTTGAGAAGTCTCCTCACGGACGTGGAGTCGTGACGCTGGGAACACGTAGGTCATTTGTCTCCAACGCCCCCAAGAAACGGTCTTGCGGCCTCAAACGTGTCCAATCAGAATGGAGTCCTTTCTTGTAGACTTAGAGTTGCAATACATACTCCCATTCTCCCAGCCGATGCTTTTGCTCGTCCGAGAGGGAATCAAACAAAACACTTCCCGAAACAACGGGCAGCTCGCAGCGGAGCTGTACGTTGGAAGCCATCGCTATTGGTGTTGGAGGCCATCGCTATTAGGTTGGAGTTGGGGGCTGGTTCCTGGTTCCTTATGCTAGTAGGTCGGAGGCCATCGCGGACAGCTCGCAGCGCGGTTCCCGCTGTTAAACACGCGGGTCATCGCTCCTCCTCTCGGGGCGGCTTGATGTCATCGTCTGAAGCCGTGGTTGCGACGTCTCGCGACGCGCGGTGTTCGGACTTGGCCTTCGCCACTGTGCGCCACTTGGGGGCGTTTTCTCACGAATCTCACCCAACCTTAAAGGTCTCTGCGTCTTTCTCTTTGGTCTGAGCTTCCTTGCTTGGTTTTCTGTACTTTCCAGTGTCTCCTTTGTTGAGGGAACGACCTGGCCTATGAAGCTCACATGTTTTTTTGAATCATTCTTGCTAAGTCAAAGGATCATACAGTAAACATACAATAAAAAACAACAATGACAAAGCAATCAACATTGGACTGGCCTTTTAATCTGAAGGAATTAAGGCTCTGGGAAACTCTCAATTCTGACGCGCTCAAACATCGAATTCTTGTCTCACGGCGTTGGTCTCTTCAGGTCTTTTGAGCTGTACGTATCACATGGTGTGCCATCGTTCTGGAGACGGGGCACCACGTCCCAAAACACCACAATGTTCCACAACCACGCTATGCGTGACCGCAAAACGTGTGACCGCAAAAGGAATCTTGGCTGTATGAGCCATTGTGTTCTTCAGCGGCTTTCCTTTCAACATCATTGCACCTTTAAACTGCGCAGTTTGTCATCCATTTTTGCCAAAACCTTTTGTAGCAAGTTTTTGGCAAAAACACTCTCACCTCGGAGGGAAATAGCCTAGATCTTCAGGCGCAACCCCGGATGTGTTGCAAAATGCAAGGAACACGCGGGCACCAAACTCTCACAGGTATAACCAGCTTTCTCTCTCTGAAAGTTGAAGACCGGCATTCCATTTCGTCAGTAGATCGGCAAACACGTATTGGCTTCAACAAAGCTTTAGGCTGTGAACAGTTTGGGGTAAAGGTCGCGCCGTCTCTGGCTCAAATCTGCCAAGACCAAGTCTGCCGTGTTCCTTCCTTTCATCGCAAGTCGACCGTCCCCCTTGATTGGGGCTCGAGCCATCCTCATTGAAACGAGCCTTTCCTCGTTCCACGACCTGAGCTGTTCAGAGCTGAAACGTTTTTCGCGATGAAACAACGAGGTCACAAGGTCTAGGTCCCCTGCATCAGGCTCCCGACAAACCTGACCACAGAGCGGAAGAGCGGCACACAAAGCAAAGCGGAATAGTGGACAGTATGGGGACATTCAAGGATCACCAGCCGCTTGTCGCCACCCAACACACATAGATTGCCAGAATGTTGGGTCACCACACAAAGAAATCACACCTTCTGCTAGCTGTTGCTGGATACGTGCTTGAAGTGCTCAGGTACACTATACTCACTGCGCAAAGCAGTTGTTGAACGTCATGATCATATTCATGTTGCCAATCATTGGAACTTTCTCAATTGGTCAAATGCACGAGCTATGGTAGCTGCGTGGAGTACCCCGAGAAGATAATGTTCCCCTTAGTTCTTTCTTGACCCCCAAAAAAACACGTAAACAGTCACGTAAACCAGTATCACGCACAGAAATAATTCAATCACCAACACTGAATATACACAGCTTGTAAGGGAACTCCAGATTGACCAAATTCTCGGAATACCACTTCAAGTACCACTTCAATGCTTCACTCATTGAACTCCTCCGCCCGAAACACACATCTCTTCACATCTCTTCACTTCGCCTCGATCCAGCAGAAGGGGTCCTCACCCACGATGGCGGGCACCTTGACACCGATCGCGTCCAACACTCACTGGCAATGGTTTCCAACCTCCAACCTAATAACAATGACCTCCAACCCAAGTGATGGCCTCCAACATCCTCCAACCTAATAGCGATGGCTTTCAATCTAGTAGTGTTGGCCTCCCTCCATGCTTTCGCCCTTGTCTCCATCGGAGCCATCCCGAGCGTAGCCATTGTGCCACGACCCAGGGGGTTTTGGATCCATGCTTGGATCAACTATGATAGAACTTGACCTGGTGTGCTTTGGCCGGGAGAGTTCTACTTCGCGGCATTCCGCCACCCATTGAGACGCGTGCTATGGCGTTCCCGATGGTTCCCTCTCTCTCGCTCTCTCTGCAGAGTCTAGCTGCGCTGTCTCACAGCTGTCAAAGAGGGACATATATGTTACTGGCTGCAATTGGAAACAAGAAAGCAATTAAAGAAACAAGAAAAGGATGACAGGTATAATATAGTTTGCAGACTGGTGGGAAGATCGAGAACCCAGCATTTCCATTGAGCTGTTGCTCTGGGATCTCGCCGCCTCGGTCCAAAACCAGCGGCGAAGACTCGACGCGTGACACGTGACGCACGAAGACTCCAAAAAGAACTGTTGACCGTTGCCTGTTTGACAGAAATCAAGGGCAAAAACATAGGATCAAAATTCCCTTTCATCCCGAGTACCTATACAAAGTTCACTTCCTATATGTTAATTTGGTGGAGGGGATGAGTGGGGACCCTGTGTCCGACTGAACCCCTGGGCTTCGCCGGTCCTTGGGGGCCCAACACCATGCCAAGCGACTCCTGGGAGCGGCAAGGCCGAGACCGGTGGCGGCCGGGCTGACGTTTCTTCAGGTCGAACACATGGCTTACACGAAATGACATGAAGAATGAACATGCTTGGCACGATCTTCCTCAAATCAGTTGGTGAACTCCACTTCCATGATTCACTCGACTCACTGAGTCCCGTTCAACGTCGGACGACCGAAGCATTGCAGCGTCGTCTCCTGTGGTTCTTCGGCACGGCCTCCAGGGCGAAATCGGGCATCAAACGGGTCTTGGCCACCTGAGGAAGCAGTCATAGAGCAGGAGAACGACGACGTGGAAAAACGGATGTTGAAACAGGCAAAAAACAGCCTCATTTGATGTGCCCAGCAGTCTTATGGGGAGATCTCAAGTATGGAACTGCCATGCGTGATCATGTTGCATACTCTTCCCGGAAGCGGAAAAAATACATGGAACTGCCTTCACCCCACCTGCCATGAGTATCGGAACAGGTACTCAAAGGCTAAACCTGACAGCGTTCGACTGGGCGCGCTGTCACGCAGGTGGCGTTACTTTTGTTCTCGAAATCCAGCCACTTGGGCCCCGGCACAGTGAAAGTGACACATAGGAAAAACCATGAACAGCATGTCCCGTAAACATTTTAGCATGGCCAGGGCCATACTTCACATACACACTGTAGATGAGCATTCATTGGGTGATACAATTTCTCCTTCTCGTAGCTACAAGCAAGATTCAGCAGGAAACTGGAAAAAGGAGTTGCGTAATTGGGTAACAGGATCAGGAGGAGAGACAACTTGCTAAGCTTTCAGGATTCCATGTCAGCTGACATAATGCGCATCATCTGCCGGGCCTCGTTCTGTGGTCTGCCAGGTCCCTTCGAAAATCACCCAGTAGGGTGATGCCTCGTTGCCAGTCTTTTGGGAACCGAGTTCGAGTGAGATCCTCACCATGTAAAAATACCACTGTGCACGATCCGGTGTGGGACAACTTTCGGAGGGTCGGTGCAAAGTTGCGGCAACATGCTGCACATGTGGCTGTCACAGTGACATCAGTGGACATCATCGTTTGCAAGTGATCAGAAAAAGGAGAGCTAGGAAGGCTAGGAGCAAGACCCCTGATCCAGGCAAGGTTTGCTTCATGTAGAAATGTCCACAGTCCTCAGCCCCAAAAGTGCTACAGCACCAAGCAGAACTGGAGGTGAATTGCACCAAGCAGCAAAGAGCTTGATTGAGAATTCCACTGTGCGGGTGCCTTGGTCATGCAAGAATCACTCGTGCGACGTCGTCGACGTCGTGTCCGACCGTCGGGTGACTTCGATCGGCTCAGGTGTCCGGCTGACTTCGCACTCGCCGAAGAACTTCCCACAGGGCTTTCCCTTGACCAAGACCTGAGCCGCGGGTCTTTCAGTCGCACGGATCGTCCGCGCTCAATGGAGCCAACGGCCCTTCCGCTGAGGTGGCGACTTTCGTTTTCTTCGGTTGGAAGGTCGCTGGCCTTACCGAAACCACGCCCGAAAAAAAGCAAAGCGGACCAGGTGAGACGCAACACACTTCTCTCAGAACATGTTCCACCTTTACAAAAATTCAGGGGAATAAACACATGCGTTTTCCGCGCTGGTTCCTTCTGCGACCGCGCTCTCTTTCTCTTGCACTGGGGTTGCCATTGTGAAGCCTCCTTTGAGCTTCCCAGGCCGAACTTGGCCAAACCCACGACCCCTTGGTCGCTGGCAAACTCAGATTGCAAGCTGCCGTTGGTCCCGTCTGCTTCGTCTGGCTTTGCAACCATCACTTGATGTAGGAACAATCTGGGCCCTGAGCCCTGAAAAAAACTAAGCAGGTACTTGTCAAGGGATAGTCTATGAGGACATTCCTAATAGAGGAGTTCCCTATGAGATCATTTAAAAGGAGTTCCGAATCCAACATCGAACCCCGATACTTCTCTTTCATGCCTCAAGGTGCGAAGGCAAAAGGGCACGCTTGGGATCCGTTTGGATTCCTCTCGGTCGGCGCTGCCGGGAAAAGGAGCGGGCGTTCGCCCACTGAGCCAAAAGAATTATGCCTCCCATGCCATTCGCACGGTAACTCGCTGACAAGTTCCGCATTCAATCTATCGATTCTATATCCATACTCTATCTAATTACTGTTTATGATTGATGACACATGGCCTGGAGGAAAATCCGGATCATCACTTGCTGTGCTGACATGGGAGGACTGAGATGATTGCACTCCAATTGAGGCGTGGAGCAGCGCTGCTCACAATCCGGTGAGGTTGGAAAACATGCCGGAGTAGGCCTCTTCGAAATGACTTACACCCGTCGACATGTCTCACTTTTCGAGTGTCGCACTTCCCACGTCACGACGTCCAGGGTGGGCCCGGTGTCCGGCGAATCGGAGCATCGAACTCGGACCGAGCGACTGGTAGGACACGAAGATGCACACTGTGCGGACACTCGTATACGGCAACACACACACACACTTGGGTCAGATTCGATAGTCTTCCACCAAAAAGTCTCCCCCAAAATCGAGTCCGAAAAACCGGGTGCACCCGCCAAACGACAGTTCGAGGTCACAAACGAGCTTCTGGATTTCTCGGTGTCAGAACTGTGACAGGCGATAACAGCCTGGACACAGCCTTATACACTTCTGGATCTGGAGGCCATTGCTACTAGGTTGGTTTGCAAATGCGCTCTTGCAACAGCCTCGTATGCTGAGAAGGTAATCGCTTGGCCGATGGAAATCTTCATGAGCCGTGGGGCGATGCCTTTGTAGAAGGCCATGAAACCTCGCAAAGGTGCTGCGCAAAGAAAAACCAGAGCTACACCTCGTTTCTGTGTATGCGTCGGTGGCCTTTCTTACTGTGTCGCCTCACCAAAAACTGGTGCACACAGCGTTTCTTACTTTAGTAAGCCAGGCTGACTCTAAGCTTTGAGTTGTGCGATGCAATGGCGCTTTGGCTTGGAACCACAACTTACAGCAGGTAGCTGGCATGCTTAATGAGCAAAACAAGGGTTACAGAGCTGCCACGCTAAGGAGGCCAAGGGGGCCATAGAGATTCCGTAGCTGGTGTGTTGCTCCTGTGTTGCAGGGCGGGGTAGCATGCTGAGGGGTCAGAAGTCTTGTAGTTGGCAGTTTTTGACGAAGGAAGCACATGATGTATGTGGCGCGTTGGGGGGTTATAAAGAACTGGGCAATCGTTTCAGGTGGCTAAAATTGAGTGGTGTGTTGGGGTGGCGCTGGCGTGCCATTGCTGGAACCAAAAAAGAAGAGCCAAACAAAACGCCGACAAATAGCAAGGAACTGCTAGAGGACCAAGCAAGTAATGGTAAACCATGCAAAACAACATGGTGCCAGAAAGAATTGCATCCTGTAGAATGCACTAGACGTGTAAGGGTCACAAGAAGATCAAGAAGAAAGGTACGACACACACGCCAACGCGAGCCAACACAAAAAATCAATACCATCATGCACCAGAAATCGGCAAAAGCAACCAGCAGAAGTTCGGAAAACCCATAACCTCAAAAAGGGCGCCAAAGCAGAAGCCCAAGAACAAACAATCCAACATTCAAGAGAAATAATAGATTTCTTGCCAGACAAACAAACGGGCCAATTGTTAGAAGGCAAAAGAGGAAACTAAGAGAATGGGTGAAAGCGCTGGGCAACATGAAGGAGAACATCTGAAATGTGGACAACGCAAGGAACATGCTAGAAATCCCAAAGCTGGACACAACCAAATAAACAGTTGCAAACAATGATGCTTGGCCCAAAAAGGAGACATGCGTGACGCTGCCAGAGAAGAGAGCCACTGCACCACAGCAGCTACTGCAACATGCCAAACGTCATGCTAAAGACTCCCAGAGCCACATCAACAAAACGCAACGCAACATGCGAACGTGGATCAACAAGTGGGGCGAACGAAGGGCAAGCATGAAAGGTGCTAGGCAAAGTGAACGTCAGAATTGGACAATGGCTGGCAATGGTGGCTAGGCAAGCCACTAGCAGCTGGGCAAGCCACTAGGCAAGCCACCCCCAAGCATTGTTGAGTCGGAGAAGTGTGAATCGAGCAAACTGTCACATTGAGGTTGAAAGTAAGGAAGCTGGCATGTTGAAAAGTCGCCTTCAAGAGCTATGTAGCTGGCTGGTGTATGGTGTGGGGCTACTACAAGCCTATAAGCAAGCTAGCTGGCATGTTGAAGGGGCTAAAGATAGGCAGCGCTGTGGGCAACGCACCCAAAAGACTCGGAGCGGGTTTCCGCCGCGCCTTCTTGCTTCAGAATGGCTCGGAAGGCCTGGATGGTGCCTGCCACCGCTACCGTCCGTTTGACCGAATGGACGTGCCGTGCGGGTGCAATTGATCCAAACCACTAGCGCTGAGGGGCTTGGGACTAATTGTAGTGGCAGGAATCCTCATACAACACCTCTACAAGTCTTGGTGAGTTGTTCTTTTTTCTTTTTATAGGTACCTCCGTTGCTTCGAACATGGACAGCACCGTAGAACCGCGCCGCCGGGAGCGAGCAGCGTGCCTGTGTACTCTTTGGTCTTCCCATCTTGCGCTTCGATCCTCGACTTGATGACCTCCGTCGCGACGCGACCGGTCGCGACTCCGGTCGCGACCGGTCGGGTCGGCCATCGATGTCGGTGATGGGGTCAGTGTCAGAGCCGAAGTCGAAGCACCCTTGTTTTCATAGCCGGCTTTCCCGAACAACCATTGTTTCACGAAAAGTGGGGTAAACACTACAAAACCAGATCAACCATTTTAAAACATGGTCGACTTGACTTCCAGGGACAGGATACACCAGTATACTGTCCAACTCATCCTTTTTCAACAGTACAGTGTGATTCAGTATGTTGGATGTTGTTGGTACTCTTCGGAACCTCCGGTGACGGGTATCATGGGGTGTGGGGGGGGGGGGGCAATCGCACCCATCCGGATGATGCACATGATGCACATTTTCCTTGAGCTTCCGACATCAATGGGATTGTTCAGCAAGGTGCTGCAACAGCCGGTGATGCCTCCTGCTGTTGTGACAGGCAGGTGGCAAGGTTGCTAGTTATTCCTCAGCTCTTTGTCTATTATCTCGCAGTACTTTTCTGTTTATATAGGGGTTTTGTCACTGGTCCTTCGAGTATCTATCGCATCCCTTCGTTCAGTCCTTTTCATGCGACTCTATCGATTGTGTGGGAGCCACAGTGAGCAGGGTGGCTTTGATTCAGTGGCCGGTCCGAGTGCTTTTGCTTTAATCCGTGTCACGATCGTCTATTCCAAACCCAAGAGTTTCACCTATTCAATTTACATTGAAGGCAACAGCCATATTCACCCTGGTTCGCCCGAAGTCCAAAACACGTTCAGAAGACGTGCTCGCATTGGACATAGCCATCCTTTGAACCCTGAACTGCTTAAAGAGCAGTTCGCCCCCAACCGGTCCAAACATCCCCTTTTCTGGGATATATTCTTATGTCTCTTCTTGGTTTGGTGTCTTTCACAAACCAGCACAAACAACTCAAGTGCACGCACGCACGCATCAAGTGCGTTTCTTGAAGGCTTTTAGACCACTTTCGGCCCTTCAGACCTATCTTTTCTTTACTCTACCCCCTTTTGGGGGGAGCACTTCCTCATCTTCCTGAAAAAAGCCGCCTGCCATGGCAGATTGCCACATTTGAGGCGGATCGCTGGTGATGGCAGCCTGGCACGGGCACCACCTCCGCTCACAAACATCGGCCGTATAGCCTGACTCCCGAGCCGCTTCGTTTTTCCTCTTTCTTTTGCAGAATGCCCTTACTGAATTTTGTAGGCACTATATAGTTGATTGTATCACTATAGGGCTAGGTACTACGCTCCGTTACGCTCCTAGGTAGGACGCAGGGTAGCTCATACATATCCGTTTTCCTCAGAAAACTCAATGATATTAATCGAAGTTTCGACCTGCTCCTGTCGAGTGCAGAAAGGAATTCCCCAAAAAGGCTGAAGGCTACCCACTGAATGGGTGTACGATATCCTCGATGACCTTGGAATACAGCTGACAAAGGACCTAACCCGGAACGAGTGCAGGGGATGCCACTTGAAGCAACGGGATCTTGAGAGAAGGTTGGTATAATATTAAGCCAGGCTGCAAATGTTACGTGGTCCAACAAACAAGACCGATGAAGCATTGCAACTCTGATTGGGCGGCGCCTTGACTCTTCCATATAGTGCAAAGCGCACTCCCACGCCACTCGCTTGTCGAATGCCAGTGGCACCAATGCCTGATGGCGAAATCTTGGCATGATCATCGGACAGTAGACTTACTGTACATTGCTGCAAAAAAGAAGAGCAACACCTGGGCACATGTGGCTGGAGGGTCAAACCACGGCACCAATCATCAACACAATGTTTTCTTGGCATGACACATGTTTCTCTCTTTTGCTCTCTCAAGCCTGTTTTCTTTCTTGACATCGTCCCTTTTGTATCTTTTCTTTCATGACACCTCTAGACCTTTCATGACATGTCTTTCTCTTTCTCGATTTCTTGATAGATCGTTCTTTCTGGTCCTGGACCGCCCCAAAAAGAATCCCAAAAGCCTGCATAGAGACCGGTGATGCCGTGTTCAGTGGCCACCTTGGTGCACACAAAGGGAGCACAAAGGACGCATCAGGCGCCTGATTCGTCCCAAAAAACACAAAGACACAAACATCAGTTGATGGTGGTCAGTTTTGTTAAGCAGATTTTCAAGTCAAACTGGCTCAAGCCAAGAAAGACCCTACTTGGATTCCAAAAAGACCAATTGAAAACGTGCAAAGCGAAGCAAACTCCGCCGGTTTCTGCGGTAAGCCAGCTTGCTCTGCCTCGACCGTCCAGGACCCCGCACGGTCCGGATGGAACCCACCAGGCTGGAGTATCTGTTCCTCAGGTTAGAGAGCGACACGAATGTGAGACGAATAACTAGGAGGAATGTGAGACGAACACACAGGAAAACATATTTACAGGTGTGTATATTTTATATACCACATATGCTATAGAAGTCGAAAGGCTAATATTTTGCCTGAGTGAAGTAAAGGATGTTCCCCTTCACGTACCCTAAAGACAATTCTTTTTAAAGTTTTTGACTCTCAGGGTATATAGAAGGTGCTTGGGCTACTTTGACAACAGGCTCCTAGAAAACCTGGATCGGGAGTTGCCTCTTGAGCGATGACATTCTACGACACGCTGACATCTTGAAAAAAAACATGGCTAAGTTCATCGACCCCATCTCAACACCCACCAATTCATCTCTGCTGATAGCGCAACTTGAGTTTAAAAAGTCTTTTTCCATAAGACTCCTCAAGCTCTCGCTCCCGCGGATTCCAAGCTCCGCGGATTCCAAGCTCCGCAACTGCAGATGTAAACAGGTGATCTGTCGTGATCTGGGGCGGCCCCACAAGCCAGACTTGATGTCATTCTGCCGCAACACTTTCAGTCGCTCCGTCGGGGTGGTCCACAAGAAGGCCTGGATGAACGGAGAGAAGCATCGAACGGAGGTGTAAAGCGTAAAGGGCCCCAAAGCACCGGAAGGAAGGAGACAGGTGTCCAATTCGTTTCTTCTTCTGAGGGCGTTCAGAAAGAACTCAGGATTTTTTGGGGGAAAGACACTTATTTCGAAGAACAGCCGCACAACACTGGCAGGCTTTATACGGTTGCTGGCAGTTCCGTGGGGAGCACCTAATGCATCCTAATGCTATACTAACCTCTGGGGGCTGGCGCCCAAAAACCATCTTCCATCGTGGATGCAAGGTGAAACTTGGTCACTTGATCACTTCCTTCGACCGATCTCCAAGCGTTCGCACCGTGCATGCCACATGCCTCCCCCGCATCCCTCGAACCCGCATCCTCCAGAGATTACTCATCACTCTCCTTTCACTCTCCCCCTCTCCTCGGCAAAGCCGGCGCCGATGCCGGCCAGGAAGTCGATGGATCCTTTGGGCACCGGTGTGAGGTGCATGAGGAACTTGAACCTCAGGAGACACCGACATCAAGCGCCACCCGGACCGAACGCCCGACGCCCGCGTGACGCGGTTCGCGACGACCTCGCGCCCAGGCGCTGCTCGAAAGCAGTGAAGCGAATCGCTCCCTTTCCAGCCACCTGGAGGTGTTCCAGGCCGGCGCCCGTTCTTATGGGGTGTGAGATACAGTGAGATACCATGAGATACCGGAAAAAACCATGTGTGAAGCGGTTAGGAAAGCCTTGATCTCCACAGTTCTTGAAGAAGGAGCACTCGATTCGAAGAATACAGAGACGCTTGAACCAGCTTGTGGTAAGTTAGGTCATGTTAGATCGTGTCTGACTTTTCAATTGCCTCCTTTTGCCTACGACCTCACGCAGGAGTGGAAGGTCATCAGAAGCCAAGGGCTGATGACCGCTCCCCAAATCGGAACAAACTCAAGGTGGCACCTCAGATGGCACAAAAGTTGTTGAGTTGATCTTTTCCTTCGGGGACACCTGCATTCCGATAAGTTTTCTCACTTGGAGTTCCAACACTGCGGTTTGTGGCATCTGGTCCCATTCTTGCCTGCAAGAGCACGGCGGGCAACCCGAAGTAGAAGCCCTGAAAACCTGACGACACATCCAACCCAACCGTCGACGGCCAATTTCCGAACTCGTCTGAACCTTGTCTAAATTGGGTGCCGAATGCGCGACACGGCGGGTTTTTCACACATGTTTCCCATGCCCAAAATGCGCGACAGTTGTGGAGCTTCCGCGGCCTTTGAGCTGATAGATTTGCCGCGCCCCTGCCATTGGGCCCATGCCAGTTCGGTTCACCTGCGCCCATCGACCGAAACCCCGAGCCACCAAAGCCACGAGGCTCGGTTCAAAACTAAAAGTATCAGATGTTGAGGAACACTTGGACCGTTTTACTCATCAACTGTAGATCTATACATGATTTTTCGCATTTCTTCTACATCCTCTTCGATCTACTCGTCTGAACCGCATCGATCCATTGAATCGACGGTCTTGACGGACGCCTGGCAGAAGGTCTTGACGGTGTCCAAGGGCATCGTGACGGAGACCTGGAGAGAGGGGCCACAAACGGGGTGGGTTATCACTGAAAGGAAAAGGAACAAAAAAAGAGGTGGGAACAGTTGGGGTGGAGGCCATCGCGCTTCCTTTTTTTTGGGGGGGGGTTGGAGGCCATTACAATGGCCATTGTTGCTATAGCAATGACCGGAGCAGGGATCCCAGCAACACTCTTGCCATCTCCCAGTTGCCGCTTTCGTTCGCCGCTTCCACTCGTGGAACGCCACATCGTCCCACCTCCGTGGCGCCCGAGCAAAAGCCTGCCATGAAGCTCACCTGGGTTTGGTCGGATTTCGGGCTCGCCCTGACGAACACAGACCATCAGACCGGTGTTCCATTGCCCCGCACCGGGCGGTGCTCAACTGAATGTCAGACCGAAGTGAATTCCATCGCGAAAAGAGTTCGATGACCCTTGGAATCAACCTGCCCGTGCTTCGCGCTTCTCGCGTCAGCTCAAAAATGCACCCAACACCACTGGGCTCCAGAACAGCCCAGTGAGCTTTCTTTTTCTGTGCCGCGGCATCCACCACCTAGCGGCTTAGGTAGCGATGTTGTTGCAAGACAGAAGGCCGAAACGGTCACCTCAACTACCCGGCAACTGATAGCGATGGCCTCCAACCTAAGAGTGAGTACTGGCTGCTATATATACTCCCTGGGAGTCAAAGACTATCAAAAGAATGGTCTTTAGGTGACCCGAAAAGGAAGATGCTTTACTTCAGTTGGTCAAAATATATATAGTCTTTGGACTTCTAGGGTGCTCCTTACATCATCCTCACTTTTTGACGCCAGTCACGATTTCGCTCGTGTCCACATGAGATCTCATTGCGTGGGACGTGAACCGTCGACGGTCACGGTTTCGAACAGTCGACCTTGGCAGGCAGCGATGCTGATGCTGATGCTGATGCCAATGCCATGTCCTGCCAATGTCCCGAACTCTTTTTGCATCTCGGAGGTCCTCTCAATTGAAAACCACAAGAAGGGGGGGCTGAGGCAAACTGGAGCGTACCGATCCCGCCTGTTAGAGGTGATAAGGGTTCCACTCTGTGAAGTGAGTCTTCTCTCAGAACCTGCTTTCCTTCATAGATTCTGGCTCGAAGACGCCCTCCGAAGCACCCTCCGAAATTGGGCACTCTGAGGCTCGGGCGAGGGTCGACTTGTCCGCAGACCGGCGCGGTGGCTGTTCCGATGCTGGAGCCCGGAAGAGAACGAGTCCCAAAGGGGAAGAGGATCGTTTTCTTGCTGCAAGCTTGGTCTCTGGGGTCTCAGGTTAGCAGTGGCAGACATGGTTGGAGGCCATTGCTATTGGGTTAGAGGCCCTGTTGCTAGTTGAATCGCTTCTTTGAGGCGAAGGGAGTGGAGGAAAAGACCACGCGACGCTCACACTCCAGGGCCCCGGCACAGCTCGCTCCGGCAAGCGGAACCTGCAGCGAGAACCCGAGTGGTGGCGGAGGGCGTTAAAGCAGCATAACGATGTTGGGTTGATGTCTCAAATCTCCACAACGCCCGTGCAAGGTTACATGAAATTCAGTCTTGAAGTGTTATTGTTGGGGCTTTGGGGTTTGGGTTCTTGCATGTTCTTGCATGGCCATCCCAAGTTCTTGCAACTGAGCGATTCCAAGCCCTTGACTTGATGACCTTCTCCTCAAACCGGGTCTTTGTCCTGTCAGGGACATGAGGAGAATACCGCCCCTGAGGTCTGCTCAAGAGAAAGCAGCTGAGCTCAGCTGACGAGTGACTAGTGACGTCATAGACTAAGTACCTCCAGTGTGAAAAACGTCGGTATGACGACGATCTGCCATTTCATTCACTCAGGATGACGTTCATTCATGATTCATTCATATATTACATTGATAATACCTCCACAGCTCTCCATTTCTTCACCTCTATGGTGAAGACCGAGACCGACTGAGGCTTCCCCAAATCCCGCGCTTGATGGCCACGAACTTGGGGATGTCGGAGGCTTCATTGATCTGCACCTGGATGTTCACAGCGCTGATGCAAACGCTGACATGGCAAAGACAGATGCACCAAGAAGAACTTCAAACAAAAAGAAAAAGAGATACACAGAAAGAAGGTGAAGGGGGCTGAAAGGCACCAAGTGAATTTAGTGAATGTCTTCTTTCCTTTCCTCTCAAAGGGGCATGGCTGAAAGGCTCCAGATACCTTTTCCAGCACGTTTGGTGACTGGACCAGCTGAACAGATCGACTCGGCACGACCCCCCCGGTCCTTCTCGATGTGGTCGGTCCCTATGACCTCAAAAGGCCGGCCGGTCCAGCGGCAGAAACGGTGGACGCTCCGCAACGGCCATGTCGCTCAGCTCCAAACGCCATAGGCCGTTGCCTGGAAAGTCGTAATCAGAGACACGAGGAGAGGGGAGTACGAGTAGCATGGAGTAGCTGGGCCATGTCAAACATGTGACTCATCCTTGCCCTATCGTCGCGACTCCACGTCGCTTTCAGCCTGAAGCTCTTCGAATGTCATGGGGCACTCAAAGGCCTCACGCCAACTCGTTGCGCGTCTCGTCGGATCTTGGCGTTCGAACCCTCGACCAAGCACCAAGGCCACTCCCTTTTGGCTGGCGAAGGATTTCCTGGTGTCCTGGTGGTTTCCTCTTGGCTTGGTGCGAATTGTAGGATCAATTTGAATCATACTCTAACACAGCCATGATGAAGATCTGTGTAGGTGAATTTTTGCAGGTGCGTTTGGCAGCTGCTGGGTGCCACATGCTGCCACACTGCAGTACAACCTCCCACCGGTCTGGTTTTTTGTGCATTTTTCTCCGCGGTCGTCCTCAGCTTGGCCGAGTCGGACCGGTGACGGAACGGAAGGGGCCGAACCTGGCCGAACCTGAAGCCCTGCTCGGATGAGACCTGCTCGGAACTGGGAGTTCGATGCGGCCAAGAGCTGTCAGTTTCTCGATCTGGAATCCTTAAAGTTACAAAATGCCACAAAATCCTGCACAAAAAAAAACGGGCCAAATCATTATCACCGAAAAGAAGAAGTCATGGACCGCCAAAAAGACGTGGATTTGATGGATGTTTTTCATCGCGGAGTCTCAGGGCCCAGGTTGGACCATGATCTAGGTCGATTAAAAGAATCCCGGAGAAACACCCGGGAAACGGTCGTACGTGGGGGGATTACATCGGATGATCTATTTACTTCGATCGATTCCCCACCATGACATTTCAAGCACTTGTCTTCATTCCATGGTGAGGGAGCATGTTGCCATGGTAGGGGAAGAAAATTGAAGCCATTCTCGAGGAAAAAATTGGCGTGCCTCCAGTGGACACATTCTGCAACTTTCGCAAAGCGGGAACGGAATCAACACACCCTTTGAGAACGTGCTGTTCTGTACACCGCTGCTCCGGCCGTTCGCGTGGGATGACACTTGGTAACAAAAAGTTCTGTAAAACCGGCCGTTCAGCGTGAGCCTCTGACCTTCTGGAGCTTCTCTTCGAACACTGAAGGAACACACTGAAGGAACGCACAAACCCCAAATCTCACTCTTCCGTCTGGGCGACGGGGTTGGTGCTACCAGAGGTCTGGGCATGCAAAAGAGAGCTTCCAAATCGATCCTGTTTTTGGTTGGCAAGAAGGGGGTTATGAAGGGAAGAAATCGACTCATGTATGTTGAATATGGGATTACTTTAGTCCAAATACATCCAAATACCCCATTGCAAAAACATGAGTGGCATCACAGGAGTATCCTCATTGTGTGTTTGCAGTCAACAAAATCATTCTTACTGGGTTTCTGAAACTCAAACCTGCCCCGAAAACCTACCAAATCAGTTCTGGTGACATGTCGGAGCGCGAATCACCCCAAGAAGCACCGGAAATTTGAAGGAGCGTTGAATGTAGGCTCTGTGCTATTTGCCTATATTTGCCCTACACCCTGCCCCATCAAAAACAATGTTTCTCAGTATATTCAGTTCAACACATGACGCTACAAAAATTAGTCGATGCGTGATTTTCGTATATAACATACCCAGGGCATCCAGTTACCACTATAGCATAGACCGGTTCCGAATCCCCGGTTCCTTACTACTAGTGGTTTGCCTGGGATGCACTGGGATACCTTATATAGTGGTACCTGGACTACTTGAGAACCCGGATGTTCAAAGTGCTCATCGCTTTCGGTCGTGACTCTCAGGGCCGGTCGCTCACTGGTCCGGTTCGCACGACTGGTGTGCGCTCCCGAAGCTCTTCGAAGGCTTCGATGAGGCCTAGGAAGAGGCCACCGTGACACGAATTTCATCGAATTTCAGGTGTCTTTCGCCTTTTTTGATCCGTTTTTTTGGCACGTTTTTGCAGACCTTTGCCGCGATGGCCGAAGAACATGAAAGAACCATGATCACGAAGCGTCACACAATTTTTGCCAATTTCGTTTCAGAACGACCAAAGCACTGTCAGCTGATTCTGAGAGAAAGCTCTACTTGTGTTCTGCTTAGTGTTTTAAGAGGAGTTGCAATCATCAGGTGTGGTACGGTAATTATGTGCTCGGCTCGTATGCTCTCTGCTGATGTCAGCCTGCTACCAGATTGTGTGCCTGGGAACAGTTGAAAATGAATTCATAGAAACTACTACAAATTTATAAGAACACATCAAGAATAGACTGTTTGCAGGCCGGTTGAAACTGGAAGCGGTCAATACAAACTACACTACTTTCGCCAAGGTAAATAAATACACACATACAAATGCCCAAAGAAACAGCAGTTCAGTTCCCGTGAAAATACATGTCATAGCCTGAGGTTCTAACTTGCCTGAATCATACTGTCCACCAATGGGGCTACACTGCGCCACTGTACGTCATCGAAAACAACAGTGGAGAGGCCTCCACCCAAGCAGTGGAGGGGTCTCTTTTTGTCTCACAACGAGCGCCCGGATCACGATCGCTCCGTCTGAGATGGTTCCTTCACCGGGTCACGAGCACTGTGGAGCCATTGTTGATGAGTGAACACTGAGAGTAGGCTCGAGACACTCATCCTCTGCAACGTCCGACGCACATGTCGCAAGTCCTCGGATGAAATCTTCGCGCGCACCGGGTGCGACCGGAGTCCATGAACGCGGCCAAAGCGTCGGATGCCCTTGTGACTACTACAGCTTCTTGCTACTAGTAGTCATGGCCTCCAACCTACTAGTATAGCTTCTTGCTACTAATAGCAATGCCCTTGTTACTAGTAGCAATGCCAAAAGCGTCTTTCTGGATGACTTTCCGCCACGCCCCTCCCCTTCTACTCCCGTCCTACCATCTCCTACCGTGCCACGCATCATGCTCATTGATTGCAGCATCCTCTTCTGCATCGTTTCTGTTTTGCACCAACTTCTCCAGGATGGATAAAATCTCTTCTCCAGTGGCAATTCCAGTGGCTTCCAATCGTGCCCGGCCTCAGGCTCTGGAAGACTGGATGGGGTAGGCCCTCAAGCATTCCAAGCACATACTGAGCCGCATCACTTGTGAAGCACGAAGCACTGGGAGACCAACACGCCCTTCGCCCAGATTAGACCGGCTTTTCGATCGAGATTTCGGCACGGCGACGGACACTCCGGAGATGAGCCCCAAAAAGAACTACATGTGTTTTTTCATGTAAAACCACGGGCCACTGAAAATGTGTACTGGATCGATCTCAAGATTGGAGAGCTCAATCGCTTCACCTTTTCTTTAAGAAATGTTCGTTCAAACACCTTTTCTTTATATCATTGTTCTTCCCATCCGAACCAATTGGAGCCCAACATCACTGTGAACTGCTACGCCATACTCTGTTTAGCCTACCCCCATACCGACCAGCAAGCACCAAACAAACTCCCAGTCTTCGGTCGGCCAACCGTGGGCACTCCGCTTTCGCCAAGCAGCAGGACGGCAAAATGATCCCTGCAAGTTGTCGTGCGCTCAGGGCCCTGATCACTGTCCGCTGCTTCTTGTCCAACTTCACCTGGAATTTTTGAAAGCAATGGATTCAAGAAAAAACATATTAGTTTTTTAAACTTTGATCTAATTAGAACAAATGTCCTTTTCCATCCTTTTCCCTTTCGTTCTTTGTTTAAGGCTTACGGTCTTGACCCGTTCTTTCCTTTTTTTTCCTCTTCATTCTAATCGTCAAATGGCCTTGGCCCACGCAAAGGCAACAAACGCATGCTGCAATTACGATCCGCTACGGGAACCTGGCCGAAACAAATCCCTGATGCCAACCTGAAAGGCCAAGTTGCTGGCTTCTCTGGATGTTGGATGTGACAAAAATTGCATGACTCTCCCTTCTCACAATTGCGCGCCATAAAATGGATGCCTGGGCGCAAAAGGATCTGTAAAATCCAAACATGCACAAACGCCATCCAGTCCCAAGCCTGTGCAGCTTGCAATGGAGTGTTCTAGGGTTGAAGTCCAAGGATCACGTCTTTTGACACCAAAAGAAATATCCTTTCTTCCATTCTTTCAACTAGAAAGCTTTTGGCTGCGGGTTCCTTAGACCTTTGGACTTGTCCGGCCCCTCTTGGAGGGAGAGAACAAAAAGGAACAAAAGGAACGGCATAATGGGGACAGTAAGACTAAGAATAGAAGAACTCAACACTGAAGAACACGCGAACAAGTCCAACACGACCAAGTCGCAGGGGCGTGAGCAAAGCTCTGGATGTCCCATGCTCCCCAAACTCCACACAGCCTCCGAGGTTTGTTCAGTGCTCAGCAAGTGGGTCGTTTTGCGTCAACGATGGGTGTCGTTGGCATGTTTCAGGATTAATGGCTTGGAGACCTATCTTGAAAATCCGCGAAGCCGATGACCTTAAACCCGAAGCCTAGCTCCAACCAGTACGAAAGCCCGACTTGGACACCCGACGTGGGGCAAACACCTTTTTCCACCTTGGTTCACCCTGACTCTCCAGGACACTTGCTTCGGCTGCCAATTTCTTCTTGTTGAACAGAGTGGTTCAGCCGGCACCATAAAAGTCGAACAAATCGGACCAGATCGTTGCTAGCTGCAGAGTCAAATCTCAAACCAACGCTGTCTCACTAATGCGCCATCATCTATCTGGCAGGACGACTCCAGCACTCGAAGCACTCAGCTGCGCTAGCACTGTTCATTGGCTTTCAGCTGAAAATACAATGCGTTTACACTGAAAGACCGCCATGGAAACACCGAGGTCTTTCAAACCGAGCTGCGGAGGACATGTCCTCTGGGCGTTCCGGAGCCAATTTCCTCGGCTCATTCGGTGTTAACCATTCCTGAGCGGTGAAGCTTTCCAATCCAACTCATCAAATTGAACGTTGTGGGACTCGTTGTGGGTCATTCAGTTTATTCATGTTTTCAGATCATGGGTCTAGTCAGTCTAGTCAGTCTAGTCTATTGGAGATCCACTTGGAAAACGGGAAAGCACCATTTCTGCTGTGCAACATTGTCAGATTTGACCCCTCTTGCGCCTCTTGCCCCAGCGCCTTCAGCCTTGTCCGGCTTGGCCTTCACCCGCCAAGCTTCAGCTGGTGCATCACTGGGTGCGCTGGTGGCTCCGCACTCCTGGGCTAGTAAGCGATGCCCTTTGTTCCGTTCCTAGTAGCGATGCCAGGAGCCCCGTTCGTAGCTTCTGGTTCCTAATAGTAATGCCAGGAGCTACATTCGTAGCGTCCTTGGGTTCCGTTTTCGAAGCCGTTTTTGCAACACGTAAACACATTGCAAACACACCCATGTGGGTGTGTCTTGGGAGATAGACCAAGATTTGCCTGGAAGAAGGAACATAGACTCAACCCCCATGACCTGATTGGGGAGGGGGATCCCTATATAATACCATCCTTGATCTCAACCACCGTTCCGATGCTTCTTCAGCCCCAGCTCTCCAAATCTGCACTTCCCAGTGGCGGTCGCTTCCACCTCGTTCATCCTCTCCTCAGGCGTCTTGCGACGTTTGGCGACATCGGCGGATGGGTGGCAACAAAACATCCGATATGTCACAATCCATGTTTGCCGATGCGCTTGTTCATGCTTGGCCTCCTCAGAAAGTTTGTTTTTTCTTTTCTGTGGCGGTTTGTGATGCGCGCAAGCCGATCTAGTGATCTAGTGGTGTTGGTGCTGCAATGACCTGTGTGGTCTTGGCATGCCGTGGCATTTTTGGGTCACCAATGGATGCGTGTTCGGTGATCATGCCTGGTGCAGTGACGCCTTCCCCTTTTCTGCCCGTTCCGTGTTCGCAGAAACTGAACGTCTCGCACCAGGCATCCCGTTGGTTCAAGGCTGAACTTCCAAAGACGTGACCCGAAGTTGGGAATTTCCAGTCGGTCACAGGTCAAACGGAACTTCAGTCGGTTCGTCTGCCTTTCGTCTGCCGTTTCGGCCGTTCAACTCGGCGCTTCAAACGGAAGTTGACCGACCGAAATGCCAGTCTCCTTCACGAATGGAAGCAGGTGGCCAATGCAACGACTCGATCTGTGATCTCACTAAGCGAGTCAAGTGTCAACGAGGCTGCCGACATACATCTGCAATTCCTCACGCAAAAGAAGCGAGTACACTTCGTGTGCTTTCTCGTCATGCGATGTCTATGCCTTCCGAGCTGTGAAAGCATGTGAAAGCACCTTGGACGAAGCCTCTTTCAAGGTCGGCAGCTAAATTTCGGTTGACCAGCGTGAAACGACCAATCAATGCCTGAACTGCCTGAAGCATGCCAAAACCCTTTCCCTCACGTCATCTTGATGAAGGCAAACATCGCACACACACACACACAAATATGAAGGATGACAAACCAAACCAAACCAAACCACGGAATATACCTAACTAACCCGAGCTCAAGCAGCACAGCCACTGAAGTCTGCGGTAGGTTGTTTATCAAGCTTTGAATTGACAACAAAGTTACACATATTCTAGGGTGGAGGCCATCGCTAATAGGTTGGAGGCCATCGCAATTAGGTTGAAGATGGTTGACGGCCATCTCTACTAGGGTCCCATTGGATGTTCTTTTGTCCCGGGCATCGTCGAAAATCGGCCCCGTATTCCGGGCGAACGGGCATGGCACGCGGCTGGAACCTGTTCTCCACTCCTCTTCCGGTTCGTTCGCCGGCAGTGGGAAGCTCTGGGAGCGTTTCCAGTGCGCAAAGCTCGCGCCCTCATCCACGTCGATGAAGCCATTCCGATAGGTGAGCTTCATGGAGTTCATCCCAATTGCCTCACTGACAAGGCCGTAGCGGCCAGGTCCATTTGTGGAGGGCGGTACGTGGGAGAGTACATGGTGCAAACTAACTATTGAGCAAATGAGATGAACATCTTTGCGAAGCTGGCATAAAATGAGTAGCTGCTCAATGCAAAGGATGTGTGCAAGAATGGGACTTATGAGCTATTCCTTGCTAGCAAACACGCTTTCCCTCATTCTTTCCGTGAACAGTTTGCAAGAAGGAGTAAGCAAAACAGTTTACTTTATTTGTTTCCTTCATTTGTTGTTCCTTTCTTTATCAAAAACAGTTTACTTTCTTCCACTTGTCATTCATTTTTTTCAAATCATTCAAGCTTTTCCCGGCGAAAGAATCGAAAGGGTCTTTGGTAAAGGAAACGGTCACTTGGCACGAAGCTGAAAGGTTGGCCTTTTCAAGTAGCGTTCTTGTTTGTCTGGTCCCCTATTCCCATCAAAATCAGCCACCAAGCAACCATGAGAGAACAACATCTTGGGATGAAAACAACTGCCACAGCCAAGGCCGAAGGCCACGGCCGAATTTTTTCAGGTTGGCTTTTGTGTGCAGGGGTATGTGGCTCTGCCTGGCCAAAGGCATACTAATGGATGGTGTTTCTCACTGTTGGCAGCCAGTGGTGTAGTCTTCTTGAAAACACTGCTTGCGTCCAAAGGTGCTCATACCAGGACCCTCCAGTCGGGGTGCCCTGGAAGCCTTTTTCGGTAGTGTGGGGTAGTCCAGCCAGGACACCCCGACAGGAGGCTCCAGGTATATAAAAGTGTTCTTTCCTTTGTTTCTACCCTTCGACGGTTCTTTGCATCGAAGGGGCGACGCGCGACTGCGGCTCACCCGCCCGATCGCGATCGAGACTTGAAATGGCCGGCGGAGGCACCTGACGAACCCCAAAACCATGGCCAAAGCTTCTGCCGTTGTGCATAGTTGCTAACCCACCAGAAACTCGGAGGACTCCTCTGCTTAGCAGTGAATCCATCGTTTTGAGGTCTGTGCAATCCCAACCGTCTTCTAGGAGGGGCCAAAGCATATACCTTCTTCACCAAGCACTCTCATAGTTTACCCAATCTCCTCATCAAAACCTCACGAATGTCGCAACTCTCCGTGGCACTGAGCGCTGTGGTGGCGCTTCCGTTCCGACTCGCTGTCAGCGAAAGAAGGCGAACGCTGTTCTGTTCGGACACCGAGAGAACCCTTTCCCCCCACCAAAGCCGCTTGGATCTGTTGCGGGTGTTCTTGAGGGTTTTTCTTATCACCGGATGCACCGCGCGCGCGACGCATGCTGCAGCCGACGTCCTTTTTGGCCGACCTTTCGCTTTCGGTTGCTTGGGGTCCTTGGGCTTCTCCTTCTGCCTCTTCTGCCCCTCCTCTTCCTTGGATTTGACGGAACCCGGAAAAGATCTAAACCTCTTCAACGGAAGGGGTGAACACCCCTTCCGTAAAGAAAAAGAATTCATCTACCGCATCGCAACACCAAGCTTCTCTTGCCCTCTCCAAGGCCCTCTCCTCCTCTTTCCGCTTCTCCTCCACCCTCACGGCCTTCGCCTTCGCCAGCTCCTCTTCTTTCTGCTTCTGCTTCTGCTTCTGCTCCTCCTCCCTCATTTTGGAGTTTGCCAAGGGTAAGTCCTTCGTCATCTTGGAACCCACGGAAGGGTTTTCCGTCGCCTTCTTCATCGTGGAAACGGCTGGTTTCTTTGCATGCAATTGTTTTTTCTTCGTCCTGTCCTTCTCCTTCAACTTCTTGTTCCTTGTTTTCCTCTCGCTCGTCTTCAGAAAGGGTTGGAGAACCTGCTCGATCACTTTGCGTTGGTTTGCGCGCAGCCCAGGGGCATCTTCTCCACAAGAGGTATCTGTCTCCCTCAGTTCCTGCATGAGGCTCTTTTCGATGTCGGCCTGTGCATCAAACGTTGATGACGCTCAAATCATCTTTCAAGAAGGAAAATCACTCCCGGAAAACACCATTTCCAACATGAGAACATCAATGATGCATGTCCAAACGGACAGCAACAACCATAGTGACAAATGAACACGCTCTCGCTCGATCCATTTTCAACATGTTCTTTTTTGAAGACCCTTTTTTCGGTCTTCATCTATATAACTATACATGTGCTTTGACGTTCCCTTAGTCCGACAAAACCGCTTGAACAGCCGGGAGCCACCTTTTGTTCCAGCACTCCGGCCAACGTGATATGTTGAAGCATGTTCTCCGGCAACTCCATGGAGGTGTCGACAGTGGTGCTGAAACTGTTTTTGATGTGGATCTGCACTGGGGTCCTTGGGTCGTGCGTCGCGCAAGCGAAGAGGGACGGAGCGTGAGGGACAAATTGATCCACCTGACCTGGGTCCTGACCCTTGACTCATTGACGATGCTCGCCCAGGTCCCTCGTTCGAGCGAAACGAGCCAACTCCAGTCAACACGTGTCGCCGATACCGGCGTCTTCTTCATCTCAACGAAGTGTATGTCCCAACTGTGACTGCCAACCATTGGCATACGGCATACGCACATTAGCTTCAGTGCGCCTTTGGCTCCACTATCGTTACGTCCAAACTTGGTAGTGCACCCTCAAAAACAGTGCAGCGGAACGGCAACACTTCGCAATCATGAGCAATGACACCATTACTCTGACCAAGCAGCTTTAGAGTGAGAATGAGTGAGATGCGGCTGGTCATATAAAATAAGAGAAAGAACGAACAGTCGAAAGATCCAAAGACAGACTGAAATGACAAAAGCAAGTCAATCGAAAGAAAGGTCTAACACATCAAAGGACAAAGGTCGGTCTGACCTAGGACCTAGGCCACAGACTTCACCCAAATACAGTAAAGGCCCCAAATGCTGGTCACGCCAAGCTTCTGGTCTGGTCCCAGCCAATAAGCATCCAAGGCGAAAATGCCTTGTTTCTCCAGCCGTGGTTGCACCACACAGCCGAGACTGGCACCCCACTTCTGCAGCACCTGATGCATGTGGACTTCATTCTCCGTCAAGGTGGGCTTGCCAAAGCTGCTTTTCCGCACCCGCAAGGAGCACCAACCTCGTTTTGTGCACGTGGAAATGCGTGGAACGCGGTTCCCATGTGGTTTCCGCAGCCCGGATTGATGCTTAGATGGACTTTTAGAACAGAAAAAAACATCTGGCCGTGGGTCGCATGTGGTGGCCAGGTTCAGGCCCACCATCTAGATGGCCGCTGTCAGTAGCTCCAGCTAAACCCTCAGGAGTTATTAGAGCCTGAACTCAAATCAATTCTGAGTCCTTGCTCCGTTCGTAGCGATGCCCCTATTGCTATGAAATCAATTCTGAGTCACCCATCAGCTTCATCCCTTCGCCTTTCTGCTCTCGAAGCACCATGGATGCCTTCCTCGACAGGCGCTGGACACCTCTCACCGTGGAGCCCGGCGCGCCCGTCAAGCGGAAGACTTCGATGCGCTCCGGGGTCGCGCCGCGCTCCGCCTCAAATGACGGGTCCCCTCTGAAACAGGCCATGTGAGACCCACAATTTGGGACAAAAAACGAGAAAACACAACTATAAATCTAATCTAGCTTCTTGCTACTAGTAGCAGCGATGCCCTTGTTACTATAGTATAGCTACTTGCTACTAGTATGTAGTAGTGCCAGGAGCTACTAGAGCATCACGTCTTGAATCCGGCCAAGGCAACGGTCCCAAAAAGAAGACCTTCCGCATCCGTGGGCGCTGAAGCCGCCAACGCCAGGACTCCTGCCCATGTGAAGTTCGCAATCTCCACCGGCCTCCAGCGCACGACGACGACCCGACTCCGCGCGCGTTCGGCGCCAAAACCGGGATGAAGAATCGGTGTGGAGGCACGCGGAGGTTTACATAGGAGAACGAATTACATGACAGCGAGGAGTTGTGATGTTGTGAGGATCTTGCCTGAAGTTGGTGAGTTTCGACACTCCGGTGTTGGGTGGAAAAGTGTAGCCTCACAACTTGGGACACCTCCCAAGTTGTAGAGCGCAGCGATCGAAAAGCGTTCCTGGGTGCGTCCGTTGTGAGGCCCAAAGTGTTTTTTCCCTGCTTCCGGATGCTGCTCCATGGGGTGTCACCCCTCTCCGTCAAGGGCGGCGCCATAGATCGCCACGGCGTGGCCGTCGCCGAGGCGAGCACGGCTCTGCCGGCTCTGCCCAGCACGGCTCGTCGTGAAGCGTCTCCTCCTTCCCAAGTCTGCACTTTGTCCAAGAAGTTGGCACACCTTATCCCAAAGACTCCATGTATACCATATATGTCTACATTGGGGTGGTTTGGGGGGTCAATGTAGGCATATATGGGATACATTGGAGTGTCTGGGTATTGCCATTGGATGAGACATCTCATCTGAACATTGATGCAAATTGAGCTTCTTGCTGGCACTCATTTGCACCTGCTACACTGCCATCTCTAGCCCTGCCAGCTTGCCCAGCGCTCACTGCATGGCATAAAACACGTGGAGCCGTGGAGCTGCAGGTGCCAACTCGACCCCAACCCCCGGCCCTCGGGCGTCAAGCTGGCGTCCAAGGGCCATGCGGTTCATGACCCTCGGAGACACTCGGATGGTACATCCAACCCCTTTGGTCGACCATGGAGGCACCAGATGAGACTACCCATGGTACATGGTACTACCATGAGGGATGGTGGAGCGTTTTCTGACCAGATCACGGTGCAACGACGCGGTGCGCGTTTTCAAAGCGCCACCATCCGCGGATGGCCGGTGCCTCTTGATGAACCACTTCTGGCGGAGTCACTGGAAGGTCTGGAATGCATAGACCCTCCAGACCAAGAACCTACCACTAAAAGAGGTGCACTCAAAGGACACCTGACGACAATCTTTTTTCTCTTCCAGAGAGTCTGGTTTTAAGAAAAAGACACTTGAACAGGGGGAGAACACGATCCACGCGCTGCTTCGTGGTCCGGAAATCCTTTGCCTTTCGCACCGCGACCAAGACACCTTGCGCTGGTGGAACTGGTGCTGCTCGAGGTGGAGCCGCTCGAGGTGGAGCCGCTCACCGTGACACCGCTGCTGAGTGGAGGGACGGGCTGCGCTGCCATCGGGGGCGGAAACACGAGGAGGCGCCCATCGGAGGGCTCCGGTTGTAGCTGTTGATTCGGTGGGACCGACAGGTTGTGGTGGAAGATGGGGGGTCACACCCAAATTGGCCGCCTCATGGAGAAAGGCTCAATAAGGCGGTTGATTTTGCACATGGTGTATATAGCTGGTTCGAGAAAAAGAGGTCTTGAGAAGTAGAGCTCGTGAACATAGTGACTGTCCGCAATTGTTTTGCACAATTAGATTCGCTAAACTAACAGAAACTTAACAGCAAAAACTCTTGCTTCGCTTCCCTTCGCTTTGCTTGCTGCATGTCGATTCAGCTTGCTCAATCAGAATGACTCTTCGGAAAAAAAAGTAACAACAAACATAACAGCTTTTTCAAACACGACTGAGAATCAAGTCAGGTCTTGGCCCTGGAAACGGGGTTTCTGTCTGCCCTGCACACCACATCGCCACAAATCCTTTTTCTCCGCAGGCCGATCGCAAGTGGTGCAGCAGTCATATCACAAGGACTCAAAGCTTTAAAGGAGAGACTAAGATTTGTCAAAGATAGGCCCTGCAACTAGGCTGGCATATTGATACATCGTGGAATATAACAACAGAACATAGCACCAGGCTCTTCCCCCCGAACTGTGTGGAGTCAAATTGACCATGACTTCTATATAAGTCATTCATGATAGAACCAAGTGCATTGCTGAAAGGGGTGAGCGGAGTTGGGCATTTCAGGCTCTACATCTAGTGTACATTGCTGCCACCATGCGGATCCTTTCGGCCCTGGCTTCTGTGAAACGGTCGAGGGGCAACACCCCGTGATCGGCATAACGAGTTCATTCGGCATAACGGCGGCCAGGGCCGGTTTGAGGTGGTACGATCACCTTCATTAACTTGCATCTGGTCAGCCTCTGGACCAACATGATGTCCTTCTCCATGATGGTGATCCGGCGGTTGTGCCTGGGATCCGATCGAGGCCGAGCTATTGAGTAACAAGTGCATCCCTAATTACTGACGTAACAAGGGCATTACTACTATAGTAGCAAGTAGCTACTATAGTAGCAAGGCACCTTACTACTAGCAAGGCACCTAACTAGTAGCTCCTGGCATGACGTTTTCAGCGGCCAGATCGCGTCAACAGATCCAAGATGCGCCGCGCAAGCATTGGCATCTTCCATGAGGCCCACCATGTACTGTTCCTCAGCCGAACGCGACGTGTCGCGACCTACTCAACGACCACTCGATGCTTCTATTCCTCGAACTGCCCGATTCCACCTTCATGCCATTTCTTCCCTAGGTTCATGTGTGGGTTTTTTTGTTGTTAGTGCTGCACCCGCTCGGTCTTCCTCCGCCTCTTCCTCTTCCTCTTCCGCCCGTCCTCCAACCACCAATTGTCCGCTCCTGTGTCTGGTGAAGTTGTTAACATCTGGGGTTATGTGGGTCATTTCCTTGGGGTCATTTCACCGGAGTTCGGTCGATGATCGACAAAAACCAACGAAAAAACGATCGCATCCCAAGTCTCTGCTGCTTCTTGCAGGGCAAAAAGCGCTTGACTCTCCATCCTCATATCATGATGTTCCTGCATCGCGTCGAACACGGCAAGGAAAACACGAGCGGACCGGTCGCCAAACGAAGAATAGAACACCGTACCGGTCCGCTGAAATGAAACAAAAAAAAGCGCACTGTATGCTACACAGATATATAGATATTTTTGTCATATATTTGCATAGAGGATTTACTCTTCAATCTACTTCTGGGCAGTTCAAGGAGGCCCTTACTTGGGAATAGACTCATGTGCTCAGCCATCAACATTTCTGCACCTCAACTAGGAAAGTGGCAAACCAGTTTCTTGTGACTTTGATTAGGGCCTGCTGACCCTCCATCGAAAAAAGAAGTGTTCGGAAACACTTCAATAAACAATACTGACCCTCCACTGAGCTTCTTTTCTTCAGACCTAAACACCGATCATTCGTCATTCGGAATCCGAATCGGATCTGCACGAAAACCGTCACCTCAAAGCGCGCGTGGGGATCGATTTCTTGGCGCTTCTGGTGCTGCAGCTCCAGCAGAATGCTCTTCACCAAACGTTGAAACGAGGCCTCCAATGCTCGCTTTTCCAAATGTCAACTTGCTTGTTGGGCCGTTTTACCTTGTTTGTACTTCTTAAATTTACAATCTGGGTGAGTCTCACAAGCCTTTGAATGAGTTTTGGGATGGCGAAGAAGGTCAGGAGACTCCATAGAAGTTATTGCTTCTCAGTTGTTTGACTTCGCCCAAGAGAGACGTTCGGGCGTTCGGGCGTTTCCTTTAATGTCTGCACTGAGTGTTTGGCTTGAAGGACCTGACTCAGACCTTCCTGACCTGATCTTCCCAACACTCGTCCCGCCCGAGCCTTGGGAATCAGGCACTCGGTCGAGTTCATGAGCTTCAAGATCCTCGAGACTTCCAACGCGTCGCGAGTCAACGCGTCGCGTCAGACGGAAGCTCCGCGAGTCAAAACGCCCGACCCTCCCAAACCCGACCCGAAAGGACTACCCCGGCCTGACGCGGCCCCTTCCGTCAACCGAACCAACGCAATGGCCATGGCCAAGGTGCTTCTTCGGCTTACAGGTTCCAAACAGCAACATCAGCAACTGGTCGGTCTTTCGGCTTCCGTGCCCCCCCTCTCCCCGCCCTGTTTTTTCTTTGCTGCCACCGAAGGGGCTCAGCCATGCGGTCCCTTTGAAACGCCTGCGCATCGGTGGATCAAGGAGGAGGCGTCTCAAAATGTATGTGGAATTGGGCGTTCCGATCCTCTGGAAGAAAGGCACATAGATCATAGATCTATAGATACCCTAGAAGTCCAGTTCGACTTTTTGACCAACTTTAAAGGTTTCAGCATATTCCTAGACTCGGGTTTGATCATAAGCTTAAGGCTATTAGGTCGGAGGCCATTCCTACTAGAGTAGCTAAGAAGCTACGAACGTAGCTAAAACGAGCATTACGGGACTCCCCTCTCCACAAGCCCCCGCGCTCGGAGCGGAGCTTGCGCTCCACACCTTCTCTTGGAACCGCCCCAGGCTCGCCACCGCCGCGGGGCTCGTGCTGGCGAAGGGCCCGGGTGACGGGGTCATGCCCTGCGAGGGCGAGGCGAGCGCGCGCGCGGTGCCATGCGGAGGCCAATGAGGTGTTCGACGCATGTCGTTTGTCGTGGTAGATGCAAATGGATTCGGAACTTGGCGATTCTGGTAGATCAAGGGGGGCTTACTTTGCCAAACACGCGTGCAATACAAGATTTCATGGGTGGTACACTCATCATCGAATGCAGTCTACAAGCTTTCTTGTGTCCGGGTCTGTTTGGTGGTTCTTTTGCGTTTTGGTTTGTGCGGGTGGAAAGGCTCAAGGCACTGGTCCTTTCGGAACCCCACCGTTTTCATGGGCGGTGCGACCAAGAAACGCTGAGACCTCCGGCGAAAATGAACATGGAGGTCACTCATTCATGTTTGAACATGCGCTTGGATATGCTTGGATACGCTTTCATTATATCATTGATACGTTCCGATGTGCAAACACAAACCGTTGTGTGCGATGCATCGGGGCCCCGACCTCGCCCCTCCACCCCCCTCAGAACGCGCCCACCGTCTGAACCGGTCCTTGCTGCGCTCCTCAGCCCTTTCTCGCTCCTTTCGACCGTGCTTTCCTTTCTCCTTGCCTTTTCCCGATCGTCTCTCCTTCTCCTTACGCTCCTGGCTTGGCTTTTTTTGCTTGAGAAACAAGAGCCTCCACTACCAGTTGCCAGGAAAACCACCTCTTTTCAACCGTTCCGGTCCTTCCGGTCCTTCTTCTCCCTTCGCCGTTTAGGCTCCGCATCCTCGGGTCTGAGAACCGCAGCCTGGGCGAGCTCAGTGGTCCCACTTAAGAGGTGTGCCGGGCAGCTGCCCTTCTGATAGCAGTCATTTGAAGCTGCCTATATATGTGGCGATGCCCTGTAAACGGTTTAGATTATAGCTACTTCAAAACAAAGAAACATATCGGCCCCGCCCACAGCAGCCTCAGGATCACCGAAAGAATGATCCTCTTGGCGAAGTGATTCCTCCCCATACGGATGAAATAGGTATTTCTACCCTACCCTCTGGGGGAGTTGCTCGTCGCCCGGCGCATAAGATGGGACACTAACCGGCAACACCGCCAACACCGGAACCCTGGCGACACCGATGAAACTCGCTGCTATGCGTCCGAAAGAGGGACCTTAGGGAACCGGTCCTCTGATTCTCTTTGCACATCTTTGCACCAGTTAACTAATTCTTTTTCGTTCGTTCTTTTAGACCTTTCAACCTCTTAATTATATCGTTTTTCCCTTCTTCCTTTGTCGATCGTTTATCTATGTTCCTTTTTTCTCCTTTAGAACTTCTTGCTTGTTCTTTTCTTCATGTCTTGAAGACCCTGAGATAAGCCCTTCCTTTCGTCCTTTCTTGGGACGTTTGGAGCTCTCCTTCTTCTGGCGCCGAATCTCAGGCGGATCCTCACGCTCCTCAGCCTCCACTTCCTCGCCGCTTCGGCTCGCAATTGGCCGCTAAGCCGTTTTGCATCGATTCTTCTTTGCTTTGGGAATCACATGTGCCGTTGACATGAATAACATGCCAGTTAACATGCCCCCGCTCCGCTCGACTCCCCCGCTCTCCTTCTTGCGTCGCCTTTTGGGAGCTTCTTCAGCCTTCCCTTCACTAGGCGCTTCTTCACGCAACTCAGCCTGAGAGGAACATCTGGTGCCCGGGCCACTTCGATTCAGAGAGTACTATGACTCCGAGCTTAAGTTGTCATCTGAGAAATCCTGGCCCAAACATCGGCGCTGTTGCCATCGGCTGATGTGTATGTGTATATATATATATGCGGCTTCGCTTCGCTTCTGCAAAGAACTCTTCCGGAACAACTCGCCCTCACCGTTGGATCGCCATTTGACCCGGCCTTCTCTGGCTCCTCGCCCTGAGAGATTAGCCCGAGGCACGGCCGGGCGGCAGTTCACGTGTGTTTCGTCCGTTTCGCCAACCAACACGGCGAAGCTCAACGTAGAGAACTAACGCATCCAACAGAGGTTGAAGGACCCGAACTAGACTATCCCAGTTGGGTACCCCTATTTACGGTCACTTAACCTCTCTTGGATAGACCGAGGGAATCGGATTTCGACGTCTCTCTCTGAATCGCGGCCTCGCCCTCGTCGCCAGATGCCCGAGCCTCGCCAGATCAGGCGTTGGGGGGGAGTCCCGGTGGTGGGGTGGGGAAGACGCAGTCACTTTCAAGTCAGCAATGAGTCAGTATGGACTGCAGCCAAGTCTACAAGTCTATTGATTGAGCAATCTGTATCGAAGCACATGAAGAACACCGGAATTCCCTTCGAACACAGCCTTCTTGCTGGACGAACTCGGGTCGCCCACGTCTTCCATCGTGTGGGCCTCGCCAAACACAGCAAGCTTCCCCATTAGGTTTCCAGTGTCTGACATCCCTGCCATTGGGTAGTAACAAGTGCATCGCTACTAGGAACAAGTGCCTTACTAGTAGTAACAATGTTTGCTAGTAGAAACAATTAGTTCCAGTGTCTGCATCCAAAAGTTGTTGAGAGCGGAAAACCCTCTTTCGGTTTCCATGAGCATTCTCGTCCGCAGCTCCGTTTGATTGAGCTTTCTCTCTCTCCCTCTCTCTCCGAACATCTCCACTTCTTTTTCCCACCTCTTCCTGCTCCACGGCGAAGGGATCCTTGGGCTTTTCGGCCATCTTCTTCTCGGCAGGCTTTCGGCCTCTTGCCATCTCTCATGTCAAGCAAAGTGGCGCACCGAGCGGCTCTGAGCCAAAGACTTCTGCACAACATGGAACGATCGAAACACAAAACATGAAGACATCATGAAGAAGTGGCAACACTTTGTAAACACTGAATGTACCATCATGTGGGAATGGTTCCACCTGGGCTGATTGACATTTTATGATTCAGCTTGGTTTAGAGCGGGCAATCGCATGCAACTCAGTCAGTTGCTGCCTGCAACCCCTGAAGACAACAATCTTGCCGGATGACCGTACCTTCTTCTTCATTGCTCCTTCTAATAGAAAACACCATGTTCTTTCCAAAGGGCATGTCACATGTCTACAAGTATGAGTTTCCCCAAACACAAGCAGTGGTGAAAATCATTCATGTGACCCTCATCCAACGAGCTGACGCCTCTTCCACCCAAAAGCCAGGCGTCAAGGTGCCTTGCTCGCGACCTCCGAGATTTCCTGGCGCCAAAACATCAAGGCTCGCTGCACCCAGAAAGCCTTACCCAGAATTGCTACGCCTGGCGCTCGTTCCCTTCTTTTACATGTAAGCAGCTTTCAGACTGTTTTGTCCTCGTCTTGACTTCGTTCTCCGAATTCCAACTCCCCATGACCAAATGCTCTCTCGCTCAGATTGTCTATGCAAGGTTTGGCTCCTCCACATGTGTAGGGATCCAACTGACTTTCTTGATGTCAATCTCGAAATCGACCATGACAGGTCAAGGAGCTGGAAGTGTAACGACTGATTCATGTCATCACGCAACGGTAAGAGCTCATTTGGCGTCGGTTGTTCGCGAGACAGGCTGATCAAAATGCGTGTTTCTCTGCCCACTTGTCACCAACATTGTTACATTCGTTTGCAAGAAATCTTGGAACTCTGCGACTGGCTGCGACTGGCTGACATGTGACTGGCTGTCTCTCAGATTCGTTGCCAACGAATGGCGGGCCATGGCTGTGATCCTCAAACGTTCGAAGCAAACCGGTCCAGCTCAATGGCTCCGTGTCCGACAGGTCCGACATGGCACGTCCCAACAGCTGGGACCTGGATCTTCCAATTATGTAACATGACATGGCCTTTTCATCTATAAACCAGCCAACAGACAAACATATGGCATAGTTGGAAGATCCAGGGAAGACCGCCTAACTTTACCTTTTTCTGGCCGCCTGACATCTTTTGGGCTGCTTCCACCAGATTCTGCCGAAAGTCTTGGGTCAATGGAAAGTACGATCAAAAACATCAACAACCATGAGGCTCCACCGTTCCACCAAAAAGACCTAGCATTTGAGTAGGAGATGAGTATACAGCTTATTATTTCCATGGGCTCATGCCTCCGAATGTCCATGCGTGTCTTGCTAGCCGCATGTCATTTTGTTATCCTCACAGCAATCGTCGTGTCTTCATCTTTCCCCCTTCGCCTTCGAAGCCTCCGAAGTCCCAAAACCACCCACTCCACTCTCCTCTCTCCGCGCCGTTTTCGGGTTTCGTTCACCTTCAAGGCTTCCGTCGTTCCTTTTTTCTCCTCGACGGGGCCCAGCTTGGCCAAGAGAGCTTCTGCTTTGGCCTCGACGTGGATTCGGCGCGACATCCACACGTCAGGGACGCCCATCCACCTTCATGTCGTTGGAGGGGTCGTGGAAAATGGCGAAAACAGTGAACGCTGAAGAATCCAGTATACCATGTGTTCGGGAAGGAGTGTACTTGATGGAAAGTTCGATCTGTGAAATTGATTCATTTCCTTCCACCGTGACCCACGCGGTTGTAGCGCCCGAGCCGGGCGTCATCGCCTGTCCGAAGGGCCAGCGCTCAGCTGCCTTCGGCGTTTGGAGCACCTCGGTGCTCGAAAGAAGGGAGGCTTCGCGGGAGGCTTCGCGAAGTCAGCGAACAACAGGAAAAAACCACCTTTCTCCGGCGTTTTCCGGTGTTTTCCGGGTACCTTTTTCGATACTTTTTCATGGTACGACTGTTGCTGCTCTTTGTATCGGTCAATGTTTTGTTGCAAGTCAACGAAGTGGTATAACACGTGTGAAGCCCCCAAAAGGGGGACCACCTCAACCTCGTTGAAATCTTGGCACCAACATGCATCGGATACTGGGTGACCCGGCGTAGATCCGGGTGCCATGTGGGACATCGTAATAGCGCCTGGAGCAGCGCAAGATCGGTTGTGCGGCAGGACGCTCTTCAGTGGATGATTTCTCAGTACCTAACGTCTCCACCCCCAGAGCCCCTTTCCCCAACCGGATTTGTAAATCATGTCGGATTTGCGAACTCGATTCACTCGAAGGGGATCCACCCTTCTAGGGAGAAGGGCACATGTCCCTTGAAGTCAGACGAAGAAAGAACGTGAAGACGATGGGTTCGCTGAGAATCTATGAGGTCGCGAACAACCGGACCACACGAAGAGGATCGGACCGGGACATTCCACCAATTGGGTTCAACCTGTGAAGGGGTTTCGTTCATCTAAGTCAATTCTGCATAGCATTCTTGAAGGTGTGAAGGAAGACCCCCTGTTGTTTATATGTTTCTTTATTCTCATGGGCCATTCTTCGCCCCTTTGAGTGATTCGGACGGTCGCATGCTTATCACCAGGGATCTGCGCCACCCTCGGCACCTAGAAGCATCCGCGCCCGAATCGTGAAAGAATTGCACCTCACCGGCGAGACCCGGGATCGGATCTGGCGAAGCCGTTGGATGTGCGTCCCACATTTGGATCTGAGGCGGGTGAACACCTGAAGGCTGTTCGAAAATGAGCTCACCAGTCTTCACATGCATATCTATAGAAAGCATGCTTTTGGGGGTCGTCGTGTAAAACGAGCATTCTGATCCGCGCTGTGCAGGGCGTGTCTGCTCGTCTGCTTGGTCCCTCTTGAATGCTTCTAAGGGGGCAAGATGTGCCGGTACCCTCCAACTCACTAACAGTCTCACTAACATAGTTAGTGTGGATGGCATGGACCCGAAAGGAAGACGATTTTCCTTTACAACTGGCCGTGGTGTTCACTTCGTGATGTGTTGTCGGAGGGTAGAATGTCCGAGCAGCGAGCCGAACACTCCACGTCCGAGAGCCGAACAGCGCCACAGATCCCAATCCGAGCAGCTCCTGAAATGTAGTGATGCTCACCTTGGGTGTCAAAGCATTACATAGCGCCAGCCATGCCCTATAACCTATAGCCCTATTAAGTACTCTCCATGCGTTGTAAGATAAAAGCTCCATTAAGACTTCGTCGTCCGGTGCAGTTCTCAGGATCCAGCGACCCCTCGCCAGCAAATAGGCTTGCTTTTTGCACAGCCTCGGTGCGATCGCGCCGCGCAGTCCACACACGCACGGCCTTCGGTCAGCGCTGGCGCTCGGTACTTCACTTGACTTCAAGGAGCTCTCCAAACATGGCGGCACCTCTTGGGCACTGTGCTCTCCATTTTGGATGATGCTCGTGGCACTGTGAACGACGAAAAACCAAAGCAACATGTCACACATTGAAACAAACGTCCTCTCCGTGAGAAGAACACATTCTCAGTGACCTTTTCGCACTCAAAAACACACGACACACACGGCCGACGGCACGAGGAGTCACCGAGGCCCAGGAACTCTGGTCGAAATGGTTGGAAGTCTTCGCCGCTCATGAGGCCCAACCTTGGGCGAAGGCGAAGCTGCCAAGGTGGTGTGAAAAGCTTAAGGAAATATGTTGGGCATACGGACTGGGCATCTCTTGAACACAGGTTTCGATCGTCACTTTTGTGAGCAGTTGTCTTCATCCACACCTAATCTCGCTGATGTAGGCAAGAACAAAGACATGTCGTCACGCAAGAAAGAGTGTGTGGGCGAGCGGCGCAGTGAGAGGATCACCATGGATGAGGTCAGTCAGGGGCCCCCCCATTTGCTCAACGTGTGATCCCTTCGGCCCCAACGTGTGTTTCAGATTTTGCGGGATTTTGTCAACCAAACGCACAGAGAAAGACACAAAAACTTGAGAGAGGAGGGGGTGAACGAAAGGTAGCAGGCAATCACAAGTAACCCTGGTAGAAGTCCACGACGGCGTGAACCGGCGCAGGGGGGATTTGATCCCCCCCCCCCGACGAACAGAATCAACTCTTACAGGACCAAATTCAATGCACAATCCCAGCTCCTGATTGTAATACATTTTTGCTAAAGCAAGGAGAACTCAGGTAGCTCAAGCTACCTTTCGTGACAAAACAACCGCTCCATCTGAACATAAAGGAGACCAACAAGACCGATTTCTCTCAATTTATCACTGCAGCTGCGCAAAGGTGGCCCATTTCTTAATGCATCGCATTCTCAGGTCCCAGCGCAGTGCATTCATCACCCCAATCAGGCACAAAGACCACCTGGTCTCCACCCAAATGCTTTCTGTTCTCACGCAACTCACATAGGGATGAATAGGACAGCTTGCAAGTGTCTTTTCCATCTAGCTCCACTAAAACTATGTCCACTTGTTCCCTAGACACAGAAACCCCGCGCGTTTTCGGACTGCTGGATGACTGGATGACACAACTTTGACGTTGACGTTGACTTACGCCAGTGACTGGAGCAATCGTTTGGAAAGAAACAAAGGTTTCCAACACCTCCCCCAAGTAGTCACCTGGTCACAACAACGCTTCTCTTTTGCTTCAGATTTTAGACTTCGTTTTTGATGTTAGTACTCCACGACTGAAGTTCACTGAGCTCCCAAACAAAACTCAAGACTTGTTTCTTTTCCGCGGAGCTTCTCAGGTGCTTCAGCAACTTCCGCGCCTCACACTGCGCAAAACGAGCACACAGAAAAACAACAAACGGAGCAACAAACATGAGATGGACACCCTCCAACGGCCCACCCCCCGAAACGTGGTTCCCAAAACGGACACTTGAAACAGCTCTGAGCCCGCTTGCCATGAGCTCCATGACCTGGGCGAAGCCGGACCCACCAACGACAGAACATGCAACTCCAGGGAAACTATAAGAATTGGCCACCTACTGGTAGCTGCATGGAGTAGGTGGCCCCAAACAACTATACCAACAGAACATGGTAGCTGTTTGGGGCCACCTACTGGAGCACCTCACGTCGGGCATCCGCCACACACCGACGCCGCGACGCAGCGGCGCAGCACGAGACCGGCCTCTTCGGTGTAGGGAGGTCCCACTTCGTAGGAGCCCTCCGGCAAGTCATCCAGGTCGAAGAAAGAACCTGCCAGGTTAGCAAACTCGGTGTCAATGGATCCTAATCAAAATGCGCCACCTCCTGCGAGCTCAAAACTCGGTGTCAATGGATCCTAATCAAAATGCGCCACCTCCTGCGAGCTCAATGAAACTCGGTGTCAATGGATCCTAATCAAAATGCGCCACCTCCTGCGAGCTCAATGAAACTCGGTGTCAATGGATCCTAATCAACCATTCATTTTCTTAGTCATTCTTCTTCCTTTGATTAGACCTCTTTCCATTTCATTCCTGTCGATGTCGTGGTGTTTTTTCGATCCAACCGGTCCGTGCCTTGTCGTCACGGAGGACGTGCGAGCATGCGAGCGTACACGTCGGTGCGATAGACGCGACGTCCGACAGGATGGTGACTCATATCCCGCAAAACAGCCTTCATTCACATTTCATTCACTTGTTCATACTTGTTCAATGGCTTGGTCTCAATATAAAGGTCTTTGGCATTGCCAAGCCATGAGCCCATGAGCCAGAAGTTGGAAGGAAGAGTCTCTCGTCCCTCTCTCATCCGCTGCTTCCACTTGTGGCTTCGGTGTCATCGCACCTTGTGACCCAAAGAAGGCATCCACCTGATGGTTCGGGCTGAGCGGTTCCAACGGCTCGGCCCACGAGCAAAAGGAGAAGGTCATGAGGTTCCGGTGGAAAAATGATGACAAACAAGTGACAAGTGCTTGATTCTCGAGGCCCTGGTTTGACAACGTCTTCTTTGCTGCTTCTGGTGTCAAACACATGCATCGGATAAGGTAATTATACCGTGTATACCGTATACCTGTACTTCAGACCTACATGCCCAGACTTGTCTTTCGCCCCTCAATGGCCCCAAATTATGTGCAGGCGAAAGAGGAGTGATTGCCAGGTTGAGGAACCCGTTGGGGCTAACAGGTATGTGGTCGACGTGCTGGCTAAGGAGTCCGCCACCTAATTGATCAGCTGGTGTTCGGGAGGGGTTAAAGTCTTTATCCCGGTGGCTGGTGGCAACAAAGTTTTGCAGCGATGCTGAGGGGTGCTTCCTTTTTGCGCAAAAAAACCTATGGCTGGCATGTTCGCACCACTTGAAGAGAAGCAGTTGGTGGTGAGTAGGTTTCATGGCGTCTACAAGCAGATTCTGAGATCCCACAGCCAGACAGCCTGTGGCACCCCGTGAGCACGTTCACCAGCTGCTACACCACTTTCAGATCTTTCAGCCACCGCGGTGAGCTTGTTACAGCCCCCCCCTCCACGAACTCGTTCACCAACAACCGTTGACCCGACCGTTGACCAACGACATGCCGTGGGCCCCTTTCGTTGCGCAGCGCTCTGCTCTTATCCTCTTTCCACAGTTCTCTAGACATAGAGGTTATAGTGATGTCCTTATAGACCTATAGAGCGTTCAAAAGACAGTTCATGTGGTCCAACTACGTCACAGGAAAGAGAATGATTGGGGCTCCCGGACATCTGGGAAGGCGGAGTAGTACTCTGCGAAGAAACAGTTCCTCCACGCTCCGGCGGGGCCCAACGAAAGGGTACGAGACATGGTTTTTCCAACGAAAGGATGTAGGTTTCGCGGTACCTATAGGATAGGTACCTATAGGATAGGTCACTAGGTCGGAAGAAGTGTCTTTGTGTGCTTTCCTCTTTTTCTTCGGACAATCCTTCTTTCCCTCTTCAAAAAGAGGTGCAAAGTCACGACTGAGTCACTATAGAGCTATACCAAAGCGTCCCTGGCATGAGTTCGGCCGCACGTGCCGCACGCGCATCGCTGAGCGTCCACACAATGGAGAAGCAAACAGCTCCGCGGAGACGCCCATCTCATCGCGAAGCCATGCGAAGACCTGAGAGAAGCCATTAGTCCAAAGTGGAGTGTGTCTGTGGGTGTGTCTGTGTGTTTGTGTGCGTTTCTTCCTTCTTGCAAGTCTTACTCCTCAAACCAACTTGTTAGTATATTTTGGCCTATCCTATAAGCAGTAACAGTGGATGATGGTTACTAAAGGCCTTGTTCAAAAATAGCGATCATTGTTTACTGACTGTTACAGGCAATAGGACTGACAGACCCAAGTTACTACCCGATGCTTAGTCTTTGTCTTGCTTCTTTCAAGGTTCAAGCACATCAAGGTGTCGGGAATGGTCCTTCCAAATGCGCATCACAAACACCAAAGAGGACATTCGATGAACATAGGCAAATGAGGTGCATTTCAGTCAGCACCAGCAAGTCTGGGAAAGACTTTGAAGCTTTTTGGTCCCTGAATAGCCTTACTAGCGCCCATTGGACGACGTGCACGTCCTCACGGCATCGCTTCGCTTGCTTCTCTCCGCTTCGGAATTGCCTAAGGACCCAGCGCATTCGGGCGCAGCGGCATGCATGTTGCCACCTGAAAAGCCCCGAGCTCCGTCCCAGCGAAGTGAGTGTTCTTACGCCCGCCCGCCGACCGTTTTGGGGTCGGATTTGGACCGGTGAAGCTTTTGATTTGTCAGGAAATGAACGGTCTCAAGAGAAAAGGTCTAAAGACATGAAAGGAACAAAAAAGCCGGAGAAAAACATCAGAGACAGGTCAAACAGATCTGGGTCTCGTTCACTTGCTTCGTTCCGGCCTTGACTGCCCTCTTCGGCCGGATCCAGGCCAATAAAGGTCACCTGAGGCAGCGATCGAACCAGCCGATCGGAGCTGGACAACTCGAAGGTCTTCCTTCAAAGGACACTAGGAAGGATCGAAGCTACTACCCAGACACTCCAAACAGCCCGTCCGGTCCCTGAAAACCGGATTTGAGACCCCAAACCCCTCTAAAGGATTCGGGTCCGACCCCTCCATATGAGGGCCCATGAGCGTCTGGGTAGTAGCTCACTCCCTGAAACCCCAAACAAAAGAAGTCATCATGCAATTTGTTCACCACTAATGCATTGACTCTAGGCCTTCCTGCATATCGCCGCAGCATGCAATACCTCAGCACGGAATGCCGCAATCCCTCCACGTCTGGACAAACCCATTTGGTTCCACGACCAGCTCGTGGAAAGCATCTAACACTGAGTTTGTAGAGTCATTGACTATATATATTACAGTACGTACTGACTGGCACCAAACCAACATCCCGAAACGTCCATCTATCGCAGCAGACTGAACCCATGCCCCCAAAAAGTTAAGGCAAACTAAGGCCTGGACAAGCGGCGCCTAGGCACATGACATGGTGCGAGGTCACAGGAATATTGACATCACACATGTCGAAGGTGGACCCCAGTCGATTTATCTGAAACCATCCAATTGGTCTTCCCAGGAAATCCTCAGAAGCCCCACCGGCCCAAGAACAAATTCCACAAGCTGATCCGGTCTAACAGATGTCTAAGGTGAGCCAAACTGTAAGTCATGCGACAATGTGGTTCGCAGTGTCCCACACTTTTATGCATTTTTAAATGCCCATTTTGATGGTACCATGGTTGCATGCTCATACTGTATTCGCATGCAACCTATCTGGTATATTGGCTGGGTGTGGTGGCAAAATGTAACAATCACCTGGCGTTTGCGCCATTCTGGTCCTTCAGGCCTTGTTGTCGTTAATGCCCTCCCTCCACACATGCGCTCCGCTTTGGACCCACAAAACGCCGCTGAGACTCCTGAAGGCAGCTTTCCAGTCCTGGCCGGGCAGGCAAAGGACGCATGTCATGTGCAACGCCCACACCCGACGTCACCGACCAAGGACGGGTTGGAACGCCTCGCCTGCCGTTCGGAAAACGGGTCACCGTGGAGGTCGTGCGGTGGTCTGGTCGTTGGTCTGCCATGTCAATTTGTTTAGGCTTCGCTGGTTGCTCCTTTACCGGTTCTTGGCATGTGTGCATGTGTGCAAACGAATCACGATGTATCACGCTTCTCCTATGCATCCTCTGCCCAATGTGTTTGTTTACAAACAACCCGACGGCCGCAAAAAGTATATGGTTTGGCGAGTTCTTCCAAAAAAAGAAACAAATGGGCTCAACGTCTTCTGTCTACCAACATCCACAAAGACTCAGCCAGGGGACTGTGTGCCAACGTGAAAGTAGAAAACAGAAAAGCAACATCCCAGTTCTCAACATGGAGAAGCCTCGGAATCACCAGGCCCTTGATGAACCTGCGGCTGGGCGAAAATGACTTCGTGCAGAAGTCATAGACTCACGGACCAGCATGTTACAAGGCTCACTTGATCCAAATCCACATCCACAAATCATCAAAAACAAAAAAGAACACAGAGAAGGAAAAACGGGCTTTTAAAGGCCAACATATTAAATTAAACAACAGCAAAACAAAGCAACACATCATGAATCTGTTCCTGAAGTGATGCGTTTTTCTTACTACATCGCCTCGTAAAGTTGGTGGAGCTTCTGCATATGCATCGCAGAAATCTTCATTTCCTCCTGAGGCCCAAACAAAACCAAATGAAAAAAGAACAAACACATGAAATCACCTGACTCATGACAACAAATAGTTTAGTCTGTTTAAATGCACTGTTTCATTGTGTTGTTCATCTTTCTTGACTCCCATGATGGGGCTTGTCTACTGGCTCGTCTATCTTTGGCACTCACTTGCCGACGGAGCACCCAAGTGTCTGCTAGCACTGCCAGGCAAAACGGAAACACGGAACGCTTTGGGCGGTGGTTTCTTCTTGTGCGACCGGTGCGTCTTTGGAGACTTTATCCTTTTTGGTCAGGCGCACAATGAATGGAAGAACCCGTCGTTGTTACCAATCTGAACTCTTTTTCGTGCACTCCTAGGTGGTTCGCTCCGAGGTTCCGTCGGCTGAAGGTGTTCTCTACATCGACTCCCAATGGGGATCATACACTGAGATCTAATAACTGATCATCGTTCAAGATCTTCTAAATGAGCAAGAATAAAAGGCCCTTGACAAGGGATCAAGACCCTTGAATTTGGTGGCTAACATCCCCAGAAATCTTCAAGGGCCTCAAACGACATTCCAAGAAGCGTCTTTGATCCTCACGCTCAGAAAATTGAGCAAATGCAGCTGGCCCACTGCCCCACAGACTTTTGCGTCTTGCGCCGTCCTCACGGAAGATGATCTTTGGCGCAGCACCTGCATGGCTTTCACCAGTCATCACGGGTCACGATTTCCAACACATCTATCAACATTCTGAAGCATCGCCATGTGAACAACTCGTGGAAGCCGGTATTGTATGTCATTGCATCTCATTGCTGCCCAGGCCTTCCATGTCCAAATGCACCGGATACACATCTGATGCCTCGACAAACCGCGATGCGCCGCCCACGGAAACTTGGTCCTTTGCTTCTTTCGTACTCACTTATTTTTCTATTTTCTTGTCTTTACACTATGAGAACTTAAGATGCTTCTTGTAATTAGACCATTGAGACCTTCAGATTCATCGCATAAATATCTCTCCATCGCCCTCTCTGGTCTTTTGATCTTCTCTATATTGTCCGTTGGACAGGTCACCGGTGGCAAGACGAAGCACAGCCTTGAACTCGCAAAGCTGCACGACCATCGACTCCGCCTGTGGGATAGCTCAATGACACCGTGTCAATGGCTGAAATGACACGGTCGCAATCCTTGTCGAAATGATCAATGTCACCAAAAGGACGGCTGTGCTCCGGGCGGAGAGCCCTAGGAGAACATGACATCAACAAAGATTCCTTTCTCACCTGTTTTGTACACTACAAGCCTTCTTGAGTTTCGTACAAAATCACCGGCGGGGCCTCATCGGAGACCCTTTTCAAGATCTCCACCGCCATGTCTTGAGCCTCGTTTTGCACAACAAAACCATGCGTACCACGCCTCGTGCGGAACACACCGTGGGTGCGCCCGAGAACTCTCTCATGACACGGTGGTTGAACAACTTGCAAAACGCTTTCCCCCGGCCCAGCACCATGTAGTTCGTCCCTTCTCATATTGTTTCATCCACTTCCGACTTCTTCTCATAATGTCTGGGTTGCTGGCACGAACCCACCTGGAACTTCCCTCCAACAGCGTCAAACCGAACCCGCAACTGGCGCAACGGCAGCCGTGGGAGGACCTCGGCCACCCCGACCGCCACGCGGAAACGCACGGAGAGGCCCATGTGCTCCTGGGCCACCAGCCTCGGAGAGCGGGGGTCGCACGCCACGAGGTTCAACCGTTCATCCAAAAGGACAACCCCTTTGGAATGGAAAAAGCAGCTCGGCTGGCATTGGGCTGGGTTTGTGGCCCATCATGTGGCACCATGTGGCACCCCGACGCATGCATCGCAGGTGTTTGACCTAATTTTTGCAGACCTCGCGATGACCCGAACGTTGGCATCGCGAAGACGTTGGGATTCAGAAGCTTCGCAGCTGGGCGTCTTCTGAGAAAGCCTGGAGTTCTGTTTTCTTTACGCAATGGTCACGAGATTGATAGGACATTGCCCTAGGCGGAGCTCCAGTGCCCACTGTGCGGAAAGATCTTGGAGAAAGAATGCTTCGTCCATGTTTGTGCTTGACATAGGAAAAATACACATTCATCGCTTTTTGTGCACATGGATTTCCACAAGAAAAGGTCGTCTAGCCCGCGTAAAGTGTTACAGTATGTTACAGTACTTCAATCTGGTCAACTTCAATGTGAATTGCCTGCTCAGCAAATTGATGCACATTGCAACATGTTTTAGGCATTTGCAACCCCAAAGGCCCCAAAGGACAATACTCAGAAAGACAAGCGCACCGTCCCTCAAACCTAACAAAGTACCCTCCCTGAAACAATCATGGAAGTGGAAAACTACCAGTTTGTAGAGGAAAACAGTCTTCCAAGAGGCCATGTTCCACTAGTGGACTAGGCCCAGGACGGGCATTCAGCATGTGCGATTGAATTCTTGCTCTTTATATATCTGTTCTTGTCTTCTTAGACACTCCAACTCTAGACTCTAGACTCTAGACCTTCAGGATTCTTTGTGCCGTTCCTTTCTTTTGAGATCTGGTGAGGTGACAATACCTCACAGGGCGCCCCCAGGCCACCAATGGGCCCCCCAGCTCATCCAGCTTCCTCCGAAATGGGCAATCGGCCGACGACCTCGGAGAATTCATCAGATGAATTCGTACGTCTCGCATAATATTTCAAACGATATGTGCTTCAAAAAGACCTTTTTGTACCTTGTCAACTCCTTTTCCTTCTTTTTCACACTAGACCTTTCTGATCCTTTCAGAATTTCAGTCCTTCGTGTTTTTTTCATGATCACCACCGGGCAATGTTCATTTCGAGCGCGGGCGACACCGACCGTTGAAGCCTGGCTCCGTCTCTGAGTCTCACGCTTCCGACCGACTTTCCACTCGTCGCCCTCGGCAGCGGCGGCACGGATGGGAAAGACGCGGATGTCGGTGTTTAAAGCCAGACACGAAACAACACCCGCATCCTCCTACTGGCCGAGTATCCGCGAGTAACTATGCAAAACAGTACTGCAACTTCCAGAAACACATGATATTTTACAGGGAATGACACTTTTAGGGTTTTCTTGTGTTTAAAATGTATGTGTAAGCTAAGTGTAAGTATATATGTTTGTTTCATGAAATGGTGACCGAACAAAAGTTCGAGCGACACATGACCTTCGTAAAACGCCTCGCAATTGCGCTCAAACAGCAAACAACATCAGTTTTTGGGTAGAACAGATCTTTGAAACGACACGGGCACTTCTTCTTCGAAACTACAAGACAAAGAACGGTCGTTTCACCCAAAGACACTTTATGATGCTTTTCAAAACAAACCGGTGGACCCAGGGTATAGTAATACCCTGGAAGTCCAAAGACTATACTATCCCTGAGTGAAGTAAAGGCAATCCCCTTTCAGATCCCATAAAGACAATTCTTTGTATAGTCTTAGGACTCTCAGGGAATAGATCAAGTTAAGCACACGAGACGTTTTCAAGATCCGACTCTCACGGTGTCAACGGTCACACGGTCCCAGCGGGGGGCGACCGGACAAGGCCTTTGGGGGTTCGGTCTGTGCGAAACATGTCAAAGCGATCAACAAAGAAAAGAGGTACACTATAGCCTATAGCGTGGCAATTCTTTTTTCAGTCACACACTACGCCAGCTAAGTTCGCGGCATGCTCCTTGAGCCAGGCATCAAGAGCTTCAACCTTGTTGGCAGGGAAACAGGATGGGAGCCATCTTCATAATTTCGGCCTTGCTTGGGCTCACCATGGCTGACCAATCTGGAAGAAAAACTTGGGTACACAAAAGATTGACAAGGGACACTTTGAGACACACACACACACACAAAGTGGGCATATCCTAATACCTGATACTACCAGCAAAATGATGTTTTAGTGATCATTCTTTACCTACTGTTACAGGTTTACTGTGACACACCCAACACACACACACACACACCCCTTGTTCAAGACTGGTGGTGCCGCATACCTTGACCTCTAAAACCGACCTCATGGCCCCGCATCGATCCAAAGGCCACGAACCATCCGGTAAAAAGATGAAAACTCGGAAATGGACCCTGCAGTGAACTGTTCTTTTGCACGACGCCCTGTTCAACCTGAAAGCTGCAATCTCTCATGATCTCCTTTCAGCATCTCTCGCTGCGCCACCCGTCGCCGAGAAGGAAAAACCAACTACAAAACAACAAAAACAAACGACGACACACGCGTCACGCGTCGCGTGCGCAAAAAGGACAAGGTCGGTCCTCTTCGCTGATGAGCTGGGATGGCTCCTGGCTTAGACTTGGTGCCAGGCCACGCGACCGGGTTTTCAGCCCCTGCACATCTCGAGCCGTTCTTCGGAACGGAGCCTCCGTGGCTTGGAGAAGATCACGCACTCCTGACCCATTCAGTTTCCCATGGAGAGGTAGAAGGTTCACCCATAAGCCTCTAAGGCTTCAAACCCTTTTTCTCCCACCTTCTTTCTTGAGTGAGGAAAACCAATGAGAAAACATGAGAAAACCACGGTCCCCATCCATCATCTCCCCCCCAAACAGGGTCGGTCGACCTTCGTTTGGAAGCTGATCTCCGCCCTTCCGGCCGAGACGACGACGACCACGTCCCCGAACGCTCCACGCGCGCAGCGCAGCGAGAGCGAGCCGTTTTGGGCGCTTCGCCGTCACGGCGTCACCGCTGGAGCCGGCGCCAGAGCTGGTCCAGTCCCAGAAGTGTGAGGGTGGCCAGGCTGGCCAGGCACCAACCTCGCCACCAGATTCAGGGTGTTTCATGTCCACCCCACGGATTAACGGATCAAGAATGGATCACCTGCTCAAAGATGCTCAGCATCAGTTTGGTGCCACTGTTTGATGTCTTTTTGGAGTCTCAAAATGTCTTCAGGGAGTTCATGGCCGCCCCAGGTTTTTCCAAAGCCTGCCATGCGCCATTCCACATGGTTTCCACAACACCTGAGGACCCCGGCAGCTTGTGGAGGACAAGCGCCGGGGTTCCCAAAGCAACTTCCGCGGCACCACCAACAGCAGCAGCCTGCGGAGGCTCGCCCCGTCGTGGTCACCCCGCCCCCCCCTGACACCCGCCCCGGACGGGACCGGTAGGGGCCTCAGGGTAGGGCATTGGAGTTCCACTTCTTGCCCATGGCCGATGCGTTGCATCTGGCGCTGGTGGTAGTAGTATCCTGGGCCAAAAGGATGGCGACAGGGCATGCGGTGGTGGTTTCGGGACTCCTTCGGATTTACGCATGGACCAAGTCAGCCATGCGCTTGCACGCCTGGCACTAGCAAAATTCAGCCTAGCTAGTTGCTCACCATGCTGCCTGCCCTGGGCTCTAGCCACTTCATGAGGTTCAAACAGGGAAACATCACCGACCCACTCCCATCGTCTTTGCGGGCATCGGTGCAAAAGCTTGCACCTGGAAAAAGCAAAGGATGTGATGGGAGGTGCGAAGAGAATCAGGAAATCTTTGTGAATAACTGATCTCCTGCAAAAATCCGCCGACCCCGGCCGACGCAAGGGGGAGCGCGCCAGGGAATAATGATAGATCCGCCAGAACTCAATCGTTTGGAGCAGAACTCAATGGGTTAAAGCCGTGGCGAAGGGGTGGTTTCAGATGCTTTTGGGAGGCTGGAAAGCTTTTGGCAGGCTGTTGGTGGAAGCTTTTTGGGAGGCTGGTTAGTGGTGGAAGATGCTAGCAAATTGTTTTTTTTTTCTAGGGTTCCAGGGCGTCCGTTTGACACGGAACGTCCGAGGAATTGGGGCTCGTTTGGAGCAGAACTCAATGGGTTAAAGCCGTGGCGAAGGGGTGGTTTCAGATGCTTTTTGGGAGGCTGGTTAGTGGTGGAAAATGCTAGCAAACCCTATAGGGATCCAGAGCGTCCGTTTGACACCGACCGTCCGAGGAACTCGTTTGGAGCAGAACTCAATGGGTTAAAGCCGTGGCGAAGGGGTG